ATGTCTTGGCCAATATGATGTCGTTTCAGATGTTATGGGTTTAGAGGTGGTTCCTCTCTTTACCTTGGCGCCGATTCACGGTGTGTGTTATCCGTGTGACTATGGCCCAGCTTCACTGTCAGGAGGCTCCTAACTCATAAATCGATTTAATTTTCTTAGTTTACCAATAGGATTAATAATAATAATAATAATAATAATAATAGTAATAATAATAATTTCTGTAAATGATTTTTGCTGAGTAAGAGTAAGAGGGTAAATTCCCAGTTATTCATTAAATGTACATTTACTAACAGTTTTTCTTTTAAATGGACATAGATATTCACTCTCTAGAAACTAGAAATAAAATTCTAGAAATAAAAAACTGAAAGGGCAGTAATTTGCTTTATGTTTTTGCTGAGGATTTGTCACCTAATAATGCGCTTTTCTATCCATATATACTATATTATAAGTATTACATTGTCGAATTCAGACTGATCTTGGAAAGTCATTAACTCTTCTAAGCCTGTTTCTTGGGTACCTACTTTTCAGACTTGCTGCAAGAAGTCTGTGACATCAGATCACAGATGTTACGTGAAAGCGCTTTGTAAACCATAATGCACTATGCAAATATAAGTTGTTTCTGTTGCTCTGGGTATCTTAATGTCACCACACTAATTAATGGCAAACATGATCTCTGAGTAGACTCATAAAACCCTTCTGTGTTCACCAGGGCAACTTCTATTTGCAGAACCACATGCTGCATCGCATTAGCTGTCATACATACGTACAGAAGATAGGCTGATCATGCCTGAGACTATTAACCAATATTGTTGCACATGCACTGACGGAAAAGGAAAGTTAAGGATTAAGCTCTTGGTACAGGTTAGACTTTAGATCTTGGTGAACTTGTACAGAGAGTTAAACTTCCTTATATACTGGAGAAGGCTAATCTAATCCATAGTGTGAAACACTTTGGTACAGTTAATGAAAAAATACTTGTATGGCATGCATCTGCTGCATCTCAGAGCAACAAATCAACCCTCCACGTATATCAGTATCACTGAGGGACACAGATGCCCAAGAGGACCCGACTCTGGCCAAGTTCTTCTCAACAACCAGAGAATTGCTTTTTACTTCCTTATGATAAATTACATTATATTTCTCGAAGTAGAAGCGAATGTTCTCAGGCATGTAAGTTATGATGTATTTTTACCAAACATCTGTTCTCTTTTGAATAGCAATTTGTATACCATATAATTTTCTCAAGTTGTATTCTTTGGAAAAAATTAAAATTTCTAATACAATGATTTGCCAGGTTCATCCTAGGAAAGCAGCAAAGATAGCAAACAGAGTTAGAAACATAATTGCACCGTTTTAAGAGAAGGTATACTTATCTTTTCATTTTAGAATAAAAAATTCAATGAAATGATTAATATATAACTTAATAAAATGAAGTAGGTAAGAAAAAAAGAACAAAGCAATATACTGTGGAAAATAGGAAACCTGGTTTCAGCCTGGATCCAAGTGACTGCATTTGCTTATTCAAGTTGGTAAATTTTAGTTAGAGCCACACAAATTATAATAATTTTACGATATCCATTTAACATGACTTTTGACAATTAAATTATACAATTACAAGTGTACATAAAAATAAAAATATATATAAAAATAAAAATACTTACTGAAAATAAACCAAAACACCTAAAACAAAAATACATGTATAAAATTTTAATGTATAAGCTATACAAATGTATGTGAGTACTGACATAATTATACATGTATATGTGGGTTTGTACACACACACATACATACATATTTCTAAGAATCCAGAGAAAGAAAATGGATTTTTAACATATTCAAACTGAATTTTTGAAATCATACACAACAGTGAAAAGAAATCTACTAGCAAAAGCCACTCCTCTGCCACGTGCCCTGACATCACTGCAGACCGAGCTCAAACACACGCTGTCCTCACAGGTCCCACCTCTCTAACACTACAGGGTGACCGTGACCCTGCTGCTTTTTAGATGCTCGACGAACAAGCTAAACCTGAGATTAAAATTCATTTTGGCATAGTTTTAGGTTTCAGAATATTGCATTACATTCTAAATCTCTGGCCGTTGCGAAGTTTCATAATAACAGGCTTCAATTAACTATGATATGGCATTAGCACGAAGACCTCTTACCATAATCACCATAGAAAAATAGGAGTTTAATGACCAAACCAACAATGAGCATTCTGTAGTAGTGTACTTCCTAAACTTCTCTTGACTGCTTGTGTATCCATAGCTCTCCCATCCCTACCAATCTAATGCACTGTACCATCTTGCCTTACCCGGACCTGTGCAATAGCCTCTTATCCACAGACACTGCTGAGCTATTCTAATCCACTCTCTGCATTATGTCCAGCCTCTGATCACATCTGATCGTATCATTCCACTGGCTTTCGAAGACTTCCAAATGCTTTTACAAAGATCAAAATGCAGGGCCTTCTGGTCTAGCCGCTGCTTCCTTTCTGTATCACACCCACTGCTCCGTCACTCTCCTTTTCTTTATTGGTTCTCAGGTTATATGATCTTTCTTTTCATTCCTTGAGTATATGCTATAATCACCAACTACAGCACATTTTTTGCACATTAAGTGCCCTCGATCTGCAATAATTTCCCCCACTCCTCCCACCTTTCACCTAGTTAATTCCTGTTGATCCTTCAGATTTCAGCTTCGACATCATCTCTTCTGTCACGTGCTCTCATCACCACCATGTATACTTCCTATAGTGATGTATTTGATTATTATTATATATATATATATACACACACATATATAATATATATATATAATTCCTACTAGAATATAAGCTCTATGAGGCAAAGAGATCACGTCACTTTTTTTTTTTTGCTGGAATAAAGAATATCAGAAAGAAAAGAAGTCAACACACTGTAGTTTGCCTAAGTTCAACCTGAGTTCATTAGACATTCACTGAATTGTCTCTAAATTTAAACTGTCTAAATTCCACATGCTTCTTTTAATAAAGAATATATTTTTAACAACAACCCAGTCTCTCATGGAAAGTTCCAAAAATGACGCAAATAAAAACCATTAAATGACTTTCCATAGTGTCCTGAGAAGTTTCTGTACAAGCCTGACCAGTGAGGAACTGTTGGTAGACTCATGTGCTCTGTATCAACTGTCTTTGAATTTACATTTCCTTTTCAGGAAGTGTTTTTAATATCACTGGATGTGCAGAAATCTGTTCTGAATTTATATCATTTAAAATCAACCTTAAGAGTCAATGATTTATGAAGAACACTGACTTGATGATGGTTTACAACATTTTTCCCTCCTGAGAGGAGATCTATGCTGGGAAAAATAAAACATCCCAATTCTCATTAATGGAAACAGAGCTGAACAGACAACTGTAACTGTTGAAGGTTACTGAAACTGCCAGGAAATTCTAAAAGCAAAAACAAGGTTGGGCTGGCAGATTAATGTGCCTTTCATGTACAATCCTGAAACATAAAACCATGGAATTTTCTAATGTTAATGGACATCTTTGTCAATATTTGTCTAGGCACTTTTATGTTGTGTATTATAGAAAAGACTGAATAGAGGAAAACTCACTCCACAAAGCTGGATCCTAGTGAAGACGTATTCATGAGCTACCTAGTCAGTTTCCAACTTCCGGAGGTGCTCTTGGGGCTTATTATTATTTTATTTACTAAACATAATGAGCCCACATATTTCCTCTGCTATGGGAGAATGAATTGAAATAAAATTTACTCAACTAATTAAAGCATATTTATGCCAGTCAGGAGTCTCAGACTGAATTTAGGCCATCCCCAAAGCCCCTCCCTTTCTTCATCCAGCAGTCACGTTATTCATTGAACAAATAATTGCTGAGCACCTATTAAGTGACAGATCTTTCTGCAGTTGCTCATGAGCTGGCGGGAAACCCAGCAGGATAAGCAGAGCAGATATGTATGATGCAAGCAGCAAACACTCTCCTGCAAGTAAACACAGGCTGTTCTTAGAACACATCTGTTGGGAGCACCTGCCTAAGCACCTCATCTGGTGAGAAGCACGAACCTGATTTCCACACCTCCCCTCCCAGCTCGGATTTGTTCAGCTTTAGTCAGCTCCTCCTTCCCCACGCACCTTCAACTGCATGACCAGCAGCTTCAGGGAAGCCCGTGGTGCTGCCCTGCTCAAAAAGGCCCCAAAGTTCTTTATCTCATTCCTATTGGAGTGCGGGCCTTGTGGTGCTCTGAACATTAGGGAGTTTTATCAACAACATAAGGTACACATGTATCTCCAATACTTTATAAAATGTTACTGAATTTTCAAGAGAATACTTTATAATCACTTCAGCTAAAAGTTCAATCCACCCTAGAGTACACCAGGCATGTGTTATGCAATCAGAAGCATGACAGTGAGCTCCTTGAAGGAAGCCTTGTATTTTTGAGTGGAGCAAGCCATTTGTCAGACTGTTGAACTAATGCCATATCTCATGAGAAAATACGCACTTCGGAACTAGATTGTTGGTATTTACTTTGAAATACAAAGCACCAAGGAATCAAAGTGAATTGCTCTGTCCCTGCACAGAGTCTAAAGATTCTCCTGGCCGAGAATGGTACACCCACGTGGTTCCATAAAGAGGACCAACACTCAGCAAAACTATGAAGACAGTAAAAGTTACCTGTGTCTCCGTTTACAATTCCCACCAGGCTCCTCCCTGCCAATATTGACTCACGCAACAATATATCGGTATTGAGTACCTACTATCTTCCAGGCATAGTTCTAGGTGTTTGGTATATATCACTGAAAACAAGTAAGCAAACTGATGTTCCACCCCTTCCTCCATTCAAGACCTTTTTCACGAGTACCCACTATGCACCCGGAACTGCGCTCAGCACTTGGAATAGTGATGCAGAAACTTAGCACAGCGTCTATCCAACAGTGGAGCTGTTTGCAAATATGGTAAAATTAGAAAGGGAAAGTGGTGCAGGTACCATTTATCTTACCTTGTAACGAATTGAAGATGGAGAAGAGGTACATGAAAGGGACATTCAAAGGTCCCCAGGCAAAGAAAGCAAAACCCCATGTCATGCCCAGTAGGAAGGTCAGGCTGACCACGCTGCGCAGGTTCCTTAAAACCTCCTCGCGCAGAGTCCGGCTGCTCCTCTTGCCGTTCCTCCCGCAGATCTGCACCATCACCACGATGAACATGGCGACGTTCAGGAAAAACATGACTCCAAAATACCCAGCACAGGTCACATAAAACACGACTGGATCCTGAATCCAACAGCTTAAAGAAGAAGAGATGAGAAAGAAAAAGCTGCATCATGTCCCGCTGATCTAGGACTTCTCCTGGCTGACTTTGTGCTCCTGCAGATTTCACAGCAGGGCTTTTCTCAAATGCCTTTAAAAACTCACTTCATTTTCTTGGGCCCCGGCTTCTTCCTCAGTGTTTACATAGTTTTTATTTTCCTTTGTTTTGGACAGTCATTATCTTAATAAATAGTTACTTAAGTCAACAATCAAGAAAACAAGGTGGCTTCTTGAACTCTGACTTGGCGTGAAGACACGCTTGGTTGGCTCACCCAAAGCCAGGTCTCACCCCCTTTCTCTTACATGCCTGCACTCCAGAGAATGGGGGATTTCTCAACCTCCTTTGTATTTCAGGGCTGGCCATGTGGACACTGTTCTACAAAATTATACAGAAGCAGAGTCCACTAAAGAGATTTTTGAGAGTGCTATTCTTGATGGGCTGAACTGGCAAAGCCATTACTCCGTCTTTCTGCTTCAGACATGGAAGCAGGGTCTGCAGCTGCGCTCAGCACCTTCCACCCAGGAAACAAAGGCCAGGAAAGAGCTGTGGAATTGTGGGCCGTCACATTTTTGGTCATAAAATTAATGTCAGTTTTTGCCTTCTTCCAAGTTTCTTGTCATGTGAGAAGAGTAAATTCCTACTTATTTAAGACACACATAATTGCAGATTCTGTTACTGCAGAGAAAATAATTCCTATTAATATAATTCATCTAGCTGAGGCAAGACCTTATTGGAGAATTGTGATATCCTTATCCTGACACTTCTCGTGCACAATTAAAAAGCTTACATCAATCATAACATCCTTATGAGATAAGGAAGGGTACACTTGATATTCAAATGACATAGATCAGAAAATAGATGAAAGTAATTTTAAAGGGTACTTAAGAGTAAAATTAAAATATTGCAATTAGCAGATGCCTCAGTGTCTAATTAATACTAAGGAAGTTTTTAGCTACAAAAAAAAAAAAAACAAAAAAACAAAAAACACCCAGATGAATTACTTAATCTTAAAATTCTAATGTAAATGATCATCATTTTAGGTTGTCTTCCACAGTGGAACATAACTTCCATGAAGGCAAGAGCTATCTTGAACATCTTGGAATCCTATAACTTAACATGATTCCTGGCATATAGTAAATGCTCAATTAATGAAAATTGTTGATGACACAACAATTTACTAAATAGTACTTTAAAGTCCTGTAAGAGTTGACTGACATACTTTTTAAATTCCTTTATTTAGAACTTAAGTATTGACTTCTACATTCAATATATCTTATTATAAAGGTCCCCAAAATGATACTGCTTGCCCCTGGAGCTAATCTTTCTTTCCATATGGAAGTCTCCCTAGAATCTGAAATTCCTAACCTGGATGCTTTATTTTCTACTCATCCTTGTGGGGTCTCCTGAGTGCTGCCTTGAAAACATAAAAGGGAAGGCCACGAGGGGATGGACCAGGATTGGATACTGACTGGATATAACAGTGCTCTCTGTCCACGAAACGTGCACAGAAGCGTGGCATCCCCGTCAGAAGTCAGCTCTTTATTCATCCAGCATTTCATTCAATCAACAAATATTTACTGAGTAGCCACTATGTGCTAGATAAAATGCGAGACAGCTAACTGCCAATGCTGAAACCATTTAGAAATCTTAGCCTCAATGACCTCACAGTCTGAAGGGAATTTTCCAAATTATTCAGGAATGAACTGATTTCTCCACTCTCTCCATTTCCACACAACACTCACACTGACACTGAATCACACACTGTCTGATACTGCTGTTTAACTCTCTGGAAGACGTGTGTGGTTTACGGAGCGGGGAGTATGATGGGATGTCCTCCAATAGAACGGGTCTCCTAGAGGACAGCACCTCACACTTCTGCATTTCCCCAGATGAGAGAGCGCGACGTTAATGGGGAAAAGCAGCTCAAACAGTTCACGGCCTTCAACTGAATTCATCCGTGGTGGAGCAGAGACCCTGGCACAAGCAGGCGAATACACTTCAACCTTCCAAAATAAGAAGCTCACTACGGCATGGAAACTTAGCCTCAACTTCAGGGAACAAAGGATATATACTCATCACAAATAAATCCCCCACCAAGTTTTTATTACTTACAGTTCATCACCTTGCTCTTTTCCATAACTCACTTTTCCATAGACTTCGTTTTGGTTTTTGATCGCTAGAACAATGGACACGACTAAGGCAGGCAGACCTGTTATGACAAGACCATGACAAAAATAACTTTTCTGAAGCATCTGGAACCGCTTTAAAAGACTGATGATGGCAAGGGGGAAAAATACGAAAGAAAATATCCATCGTAGAATTGAATTTCTTAGAACTGGCAACTTGGTTAAAAACAACAATAAAATCCCCTTTTTGGTGTGAAACATCCAACTCTAATTGGCAACAATCTAAACTTACTCTTAAATGAGACATTTAAATATTCTGTTTGCCTACTGGTAACCCCCAGAGTACCAGAACCCGATCTGTACTGAATGCAGCACCAGACAGTGTAGTTTCACTAATGACACCTGCTAGCCTGCCAGAGTTCAGCCAGTAACAGCTTTATTTTGCCTATTTCTATATAAAGAAAACTCTATAAAAAAATGGGGGGAACACAATGGGGGCAGAAAATCTTTACAATCTTCTCGTTTCTCTCAAGAGAATCGATACAGTATTTCCATGTATATTTCAGCGGGGAAACGCTGACACCACTCGAATTCCCTGAAGGTGCTTTCAGTGCCTCCTGCAATGGTGCTGAGCCCCTTGCAAACGTCTCGTTTCTATACTGACATCTAAACAAGAGATTTGTGAGAAAGCTCTACAGTGCCTGGCCCGAAATGAAACCCAGATACAGAAGGAGCCTAACGAGAAGACTGCGAACAGGCTAACACGGCCACGCATGTCTGGCTGAGGAATCACGTTAAGAAGCTCCAAGCAAGAATTCTGCTCATTGTTTGGTTGCCCACACGAAAATAACCTTCTCACTCAGATTTCCAAGACATGGGCATGTGTCTCAGGAGTATACTGAGGAGTCTGAGCTGGCCCTTATGTTTTGAAATAGAATGGAAATGCACCACCGTCTGCCAGCTGCTTCTTTGGGCTTGGGTGGGCTGGCTCTGCACACAGGAAATAAGTTTGTGGTGACTCAAGAGCTAGGGTTTTTTCCCCTTTACTCTTGACTTGAGTGAGGACTGCTGAACAGTTTTTAAAAACACTGTTCTGAGGAAGCCCCTTCTTTAGGCTATGCGTAACAAACCCACATCACTCACCAATTTGAAGTTTCATTTAGTAATGCTTATTCTTTCAAAATAGGATTTTCGTATGAGAACTTAGTGATTTCCATGACGGGGAAAAAAATATTAGGAAGCTTACCCCAGCCAATGATGCAAAATTTCAGTATGTATCGGCGAATGTAAGTGTTAAATACTTTAACCAGAGCGATGTACATGTGGATCGCTTCCAGCCCCATCCAGGTGAAGGTAGCCAGAAGGAAGAAATGCAGCAGGGCTGCAACGGCAGTGCAAAGTCCAGCCACATGGAACGAGGTGACCCAGCCGTCCAGGAGGAAGAGGAGGTTCAGGAACAGCAGGGCTGTACTCAGGTTCATCAGGATTTTGGAGGGATAATCTCTCCGCAATTTTCTAAAGAAGGAAAAAAGAGAACAATATAAGAATAAAGTTGTAGATACATCTTTTAAGCACAGGCAGTGAATTCATATCTTACATGGCTCTGCAAAAAGCTAGGTAGTACCACCTTCATGACTTGGTTCCACCAGAAAGATGGCTAAAGATATATGAGTACTTGGCAAATTGTAAAGATTTTTTTTAAAATACTCATTTTATTTCAAAACTGTTTCCGAAATTTCCATCTGGTTTCAACAGAATTTTTTTTAATCCAGGAAAAAATTCTAAATTTATTTATAAAAAATGATATTTTTGTTAAAAAAGTTTTCCCTAAAATTTGTTAGTTTCTTGATTTTTAATAAGATAAGGACTCTTTTTTTTTTAAATTTCCTGCTTCAGGACCAATTTCACATTGTGAAGCAAATGTTTTCATCTTTTACCATGTAAAAAACATTTCATACAATTTTTATTTACTTAAATGCTAATAATCTCACAGGTTAAAAACATTCTCTCAGTGGAAATATAGTAACTATAAATTAGGATTCTACAGCTGGGAAATTCATGTTGCATGATATATCTTATGAGGAATATTAAAAATGAAACTTTGAACCACCCTACATGATTCACAAAGTGGATAAATATTTTTAAAAGCTGAGACAATTCTCTTATTCACATTTTGGGATAGTTAGCACTCGATTTGGCAGATAGAAAAAATACTTACTCAAAAGCAACATATGTCAGGAGAGTAGTTGCTGAAAAAATAGCGGATATTCCACACCCAATATAGGTGATGAAGGTGAGAACTTTGGTGTTTCTTGCATCCAACTGTGAGGCAGTTCCTTGGAGGTCCTACCAAAAACATGGGGACAGCTGAAAGATCTCTCTAATCATAAGAATAGTGTTTGTTTTATGAGAAAGTTCATTGATGGTACTTGGAATCACAGCTCCATCTTAGGGGCAACAACATAAATCAATATGGGCAGACCTCGTTTTATTGTGCTTCACTTTATCTGCACTTTGCAGATACTACGTTTTTTACAAATTGAAAGTCTATGACAACTGTGAGTCAAGCCGTTTTTCCAACAGCATTTGCTCTCTTTGGGTCTCTGAGTCACATTTTGGTAATTCTTGCAGTATTTCAAGGTTTTTCATTATTATTATATTTGTTACAGCGATCTGTGATCAGTGACCTTTGGTGTTACTGCTATGACTCACTGAAACGCAGGATGGTAAGCATTTTTCAGCAATAAAATATTTTTAATGAAGGCATCTACATTGTTCTTTTAAAGGCATAATGCTATCGCACATGTAATAGACCACAGTACAGTGTAAACATAACTTTCATATGCACTGGGAAAGCAAAAACTTCGTGTGACTCACTTTATCACTTTATCACTTTACTGTAGTGGTCTGGAACTGAACCCACAAAAATATCTCCGAGGTATGACTGTACTGAAATTTCCATTTATGGTACTCTTGTGGATCACTCCATGATCCACACGTTTTTTTTTTACCCAAGCTCTTTGCACACCAGTTTGACTTGAAGAGCAGAACCACGTCAACCCCCAACAGAAATTGGAGAGGAGGTCATTGCCTTTCATAATACGACCAGACCTTTTCCTAGCATTTGCAGGGCTGGGGACACACGTACAAATGGAGGTGACTGTGTTCCACATGGCCAAGCCGTCAGGTGGACTCTGAGTTCTTTGCCGGGAAGGGCGGGGCTCAGCCGGCAGACACCCAGAGACTCTGAGAGGAATGCGGAGGCTCTTACTGTGGCCATTTCAAATCTTGGTATATACTGGATGGGGTGGTCTTCTTTTTTTTTTTTTTTTCATAAATGAGAAGTCACTAAGAGTTTGAGGGTCATAGTTTTTTGGTACTTATGATCCTGAAAAGGCACCGCTTAAAAATGTCAATGGTGGTTGTTAGTGGAAAGATTCTAGCATGTGATTATGAAGCCTTAGTTTTAATTTCACTGTGCAGAGGGAGGCAGCTTGCAAAAGTCCAGGCTTGGTAGGAAAATCTTTCTTTTCTTCCTTAAATGGGAACTCATAAATCTTGAGTTAAGACTAACCACTCAGTCCTAATTGGAGAAGACAGGCATCACCATATGCAGATGTTTGAAAATGGAGCCTTCTTGGAGAAGGAACATATTCCAAAAGGAATATCTGGTTTAAACTTTTACACCTTAAATTATGAAAACAATTGTTTTATAAGCTTTTCATTCTATGTTAATTTTTTTTAATTTTCACCAAAATGTCAGTAAAATTTGCTACTTACACAAATGCCTCTAGTAAGTGGTGACTGTATGAGCAAACATGTGTGTGAAATTTCGAAATGGGACTCAATTCTGGGTTTGGCTGATGCAATAAGGAACAGTTAACAACACCTCTGTGACATCAAGAAATGCACAATGTGATGAAATGCAGCAGATGCGGGGATTCAGGGTCAGAGGGGCCCTTTCCTGTCCTCCTCTCCTAGGAATCACTCAAAACATCAGGAGGACATGGGACTCCCAGGCACATGGGATGGGGTTTGAGTCAGTGTCACTTGATTCACAGGTAGGTTACTGCAACCAGCATTTTGGTTACTCCAGGATTTGATGAGATCAGACAAATATCTTGAGAACCTTCAAAGGACTTGTCATTGCCTCTTGAAAAACCTGTATCTCCCATCTAGATGAGGCAGCAGACTTGCAAATCACAATTAAAGCCACAATTTAAAATGTAAATTAAATAAAATAAAACTTTTTACAGTTACACATTTATACACAATTCTCATGCTGTTTAATACTTTTAGCGAATGAAGAATATGAAAATATTTGTTCCTCTAAACCAGCCAACATAGGAATGTACCAATGTTAAAAATATGAAAATCAGTTTTACTACAAAGAAATGTAGTAAAGGACATGAAATTCTTCATCTGAGGATTAGAAGGTATAATTATGAATCTGGGGTACATTGTTTAATTTCTCATATGGTGAGTGTGGCAAGGGGCAAGGTAGACTCTGGGAATAGCTTATTCAAGTGAATAAAGAGTTTGTACATTAAGAAAGATTCTTAACAACGTCTTTGCGGTCCAGAAAAGCTGAAAGGATCTGGGCACATCGCCAGAAAAGATAAACTCTGGAGTTTTTCTTCCAGAAGTTTATAATCCTATAAAAGCAGCCACAGTGGAAAATGGAAAGATAGCACTAAAAAGTGCATACATCCATATACATGTAAAACTAATTATTTATTCAAACGACAATAGAAAAAATACTATAAAATTACAAATTCATAATAAAATTTAAACAATATTTGAAGAAATTCACTATTCAAAGTAATGAGAAGCCAAACTTTGGTTACATATAAATCATCTCTGAACACTGTGTTACTGTGTTCCATTATCTTAATATTAGACTTACAGCATACACAATCATGCTCAAACACACACACAAACAACTGAAATAATTCAATGAATTAAGCTAAAGCTTACATTCTTAAATGAGTAACCATGCAGAGTAAACATTTTATGAAAGAAGGATGCTGTCACTTTTCAAAAAAAAGAGAATATGGAAGAAAATAGGTTCTTTTTAAAAAAATTATTCAAGGAAAACATGTTATCTCTTAATTGTTCATTTTCATGGTCTGGCAGTAAATGAATATATTAATATTTGAGCAAAGTTAAAAAGTTACTTTCTATGATTGTCATTTCTTTAAATGACTTGAAATGACTTGGTCGTATCCCCCAAGGCATTTATGCACAGGATTGTCAGGACAATTACAACTTGCAGGGTTGCCATGTGACACCGGCCATTTACATAGGCCAGGTAGATTCATGAGCCAATGACTACATCCCACAGCTCCTCTCTGCTTCCGCCCAGGCCCACAGGAAGATTTAAGGGATGGGATAGACATGACCTGATGTCTGTGATGCAAATTCGAAAAGCTTTATTGCCCCAGCCCACATGACTCCCATCTCCAATTAAAAAGCAAACATGGTTTGATCCCTTTATGGAAACTACACCAAAACAGATCTGTTATGATCTGAAGGGTGTCCTTTGCACCAGAAACGTGTCTGCAAAAACACAAACAGACATAAGGTAAAGGTGGAAGTTGCTGGGTGAATTCACACAGTTTGCTGGTTGTTGGGAGGCTCTTGAAAATTTGGTGGGCAGAAAAAACCTATTGATGCAATCTAATTTTTGATTAAAAAAACTTAACGAGACACAACCAGGGCCAAGGAAAAGAAGGCAGGAAGTAACGAAGGGAAGAAGGATAATGAAGGCCCAGCAGTGAGAGAAACATCTCTCCCCCAGCCCGAAGATGCCACACTATCCAATCGCTAGTCTGTCCTCACAGGCTGTGAGCTCTGGAGGGGAACAGCAGTCATTCTGGTCACAACAAGATCACCTAGCACAGCACCCAGTACAAAGTCACATTCAAGCACACTGGGTGACAGCATATGATGACAAAGACGATTACTGATGAAACTTGTCACAGCTTCCTTCCATGCTAGTAAAACCCAACATTATCTTCCTCTAACTTTTCTGTCCCTCCCTTCCTCTCTCTGTCTCCCTAATTCTCTGCTTCTCTCTTAATTCAAGGGTCTTATGGTGATTTTCTTGTATCTGGGATTATTTATCATTACTGTTAATGTCACAGGAAAAAAAAAAGTACGGTTCTTTTCTATACTTATTTTGCATATTTTTAATATATGATCTCTGCTAATTAGGTTCTTCATTAAAACTCCAGATCAGGGTACAGATGAAAATTATCAAGAAAAAAATTTTCCAAACACATACCCTAAAAAGGCAGCCTCAAAGGAAGAAATAGACCTTCCAAAATCACATCATTTCAAAATGAGTTTAGAAGTTCCTCCCTTACCATCAGAACTCCAAAGTGTGTGAGGTGGTTACACAGGCAGACCGTCTCGCTTGCGTCCGAATCTCCGTGTGCGACACATCCTGACGTGTTCCAAAATCCAGAACCTTCTGTAGAAAGAAGTCAACAAACAGTGTGATAACAAGAGCAGGTCAGTTCCTTCTCTATAATGGATGATCTCTTCTTTGGGGAAATATGCCTCAATAGCTTCTGCCTTGCAGTTTATCTGTAACATGGATACTACTTTGAAAGCTGCCATTACTTAGAATAATTTCAATTCCCGGAGTCACGGAGTGTTAGTGCCAGGTGGGTAGTTAGAGATTACCTAGGCGGTGGTTTTCAACTACGTTCTACTGAAAAGCCTCAGGGGGTCTGCAAAAATTTGATTTTTACATTTTAACATATTTTAATAGTGTAACATATGTTTTACTTATTTAATGTAAATATTTTAACATATTTATAAAAATACATTTGTTTAATATATTTAATATAAATATATATTTAACATACATAAATGCATTGATGTTCAATTTATTTATTTATTATAGTTTAAAATCAACTTCCATAAAAAGAATATCCCTTTTCCAATACGTTACACACTACGTTACACACTAATCTCTGGAGATTGACACCTTTTCCCGCCTCGCGAGAACAGCCTCCTTGGAACATGCTGTAATGGACACAGCAGTCATGCACAGTGACAGCTGATCACAAATGCCTTTAACACAGCTTATCTGACTTTTACGTTACATTATGGAATGTGAGCAACTCATATAGAAAGACTATTTAAAGACTACAAGGTGACATCATTTTTAACTATGTAGCTAGTAAACCAGGATCTTCTCAAAACTGAAACTGGAAACCAAACAACAACAAAAATCTTTCCAGCTAGATAAGGAGTATCAAAAAAAAAAGAGGTTTGGGACACCTTCAGACTACATTTCTGAGGAGCAGCCGGCACTGGCGTTGGTTTGATTCGGCCACTGCAATCCCTCTGCGGAACCCCAAGGAAGCTGAGCGTTAGAGGCAGAGGTGGGACGTTTCCCCACGTGCTATTGCCTTCAAAGACACCTCCACACTGAACCTCTTCATTATGCCTTTCCCTCTTGACTGTCAAATGTCATTTTGGGGGCAGCTCATTTCTTTCAAGGACCATGTAACCATTATAACCATTCCTACAGTTATAGTCCTCTAACGTGATTCCTCCATAATCTGTGTCTGGAAGCTGGATTTTAAAATGCATGTCCTGTGACATCAAATAATCTCCTCAGAAGTGTCCTAGAAGAACGTGACTGACATTCATCTAAAAGTGGCAGTAAAAATGCATGCTGTTTTCAAATAAATAACTGAAATCAGAGATGGTTTGTTTAAAAAAAAGGTCAAGTCTGCCTATTTCTTTTTGTAATGAGTAAAAAGTTACAGGAACTAGCTACCTAAATTTGCAGCTCAGTTGTCATCACACTTACCTTGTGACTCACTCTGATTTGGGATAGAATTAAAGGAAATGCGGGTGTCTAACAATGTTTAAAATTCAGTTGTTATTAAGACAGCCAGTATTTTAAAACTTACCGTTTTTGTTCAGATCCCAGAAGGCACAGATGGGATGAGGCACTGCCTATATTAACGTAAGAATAAACATGTGAATTGTGTTTAAAATAAATGAAAAATCATATGATTTGAATATGAGAAAAGAGTAAAAATGCTAAAGTTTTCACGAAGAAACAGAGCATCATCAGTCAGGGCAATATGACCTAAGAACAGGAGGCAGTTTGGGGGGGTCTGCTCTCACAGACTTCAGATGGAAACAACTATAGCCTCAGAGGAATCATGGTACTCACTTATCTGCAGGTCACTATGTCTCATCATAAGATGCCTTTCTCAGCATTTAGCAAAGCTCTTTACACTAAAATTTCACTTCATCTACAAAAGTCTCCTTATGCCCAAAAGAATTGAACGTGGAGACCCCAGAGGTATTTGCATAACCATGCTCACAGCCGCATTATTCACAACAGCCAAAAGATGGAAGCGGCCAAAGCGTCCATCAATGAATGAATGGATAAACAAAATGTGTGAGAGAGTGTGTGTGTGCGTGTGTGTGTGTATGCAACAGACTACTGTCCAGACTTTAATAAGAAGGAAATTCCAACACGCTATAATGTGGATGCACCTTGAAAATATCACGTTAAGTGAAATAAGCCAGTTACTAAAGGACAAATACTGTATATGACTCCACTTATACGAGGTACCCAGAGTAGTCAAATTCATGGAGACGGGAAGCAGAATGGTGATTTCCAGAGGCTGGGGCGGGGGGGAGTCGTTGTTTCATGGGACATAAGTTCAGCTGGGGAGTATGAAGCCATCCCGGAGATGGAAGTCGTGATGGTTGCAGAATAATATGAAAGGACTTAATGCTGCAGAATTATACACTTAAAAATGGTTAAAATAGTAAATTTTATGTTACGTATATTTTACCACAATAAAAAAATGCTTTATGGATGAAGGAGCTGAAACAAAGGAGGCCAAAGGGTAGAACAAGGAGGTCTCAGAGGGCCGTGTGACAAAGCAGAGCTAATTCTTAGACGATTTCAGTTCCAAACCTTGGTCCTTATCAGCCAGCTCACTTCCCGCCCGCCTTCCTGCCTTCCTAATGGTACAGTCATGCCTGGGACCCTCCATAAAGCAGGGGAAAACTGTGGCTGGGCCACCTAAGACAATAAGAACCCTCACGCAATTTTATCAAATAAACAAATGATAGCAAGGCGATGAAATAAAAAAAAAGGAACATTTGCCAGGATTTTAGACCGCTGCTAACCTCTCAAAAAATAAGTTAACTCTCTCCTGTTGCTCCCTTTTCCCCTCTGCTTCAGTAATCTTTGACTTTAAAACAGCAACCAAAACCTTTAATGGCGCAATCGTGCAATGCATCTACGTCTAAGTTATTTCAAGGAATGTATGTCGTTTCTTAAAAATAGTGGCTCTTTCCTTCACTCTTACTCTCCTTCAGACGACTGAGTCCTAGCTAAGACTGACTCCTCCCACCCAACACTGCCCCACCGCCACCATTTGCTGTGACATTAGACCACCCAACTAGCTGGCCCCCTCCTTGGGGAAAACTGCCCCCTCCAAAAGTACCAGTTATTTCTAATCATGTAAAAAAAAAAAGTCCCCACAATTCTCTGAAATAGTCTGCCTCTGTTCCATGGCTATTAGTAGTTTTTTCTTACCTGAGTTCTTGTATGTTTGATTCTAATTCGAACAGGATCCTTCAGATCCTGGAGAGTGATGTTCCCAATACTGCATGCCATCACATAACTCACTAAGGTGTCTTTCTTATTTTCCACATCCTTTTAAAGAAAAAAAAATGTGTATTCACCAGAAGTACACACTTTTATTTTGTTTTGATACGCCAAAGCAAGCAAACTGACAGCACTTTTTAATACTTAAGATCTTCAGTTACAGAACATCCTGTTTATAAGATCAAATTTCTAGCTCTCCTGAAAGAGCTGTGCTATTTCCCTTATTATATTAAATACATTGAGGGAACACTATGAACCAGTGCTGTGAGGCGATGTTCATAAAACTCCTTTCTTAATTGCCATGGCCGATGCCCGCCAGTTAACATCTGAAACAATGTAAACCCACAAATCATATCCACTCATAAAAAGCTGTGAAACAATTAGATCATTTCCCTATCGCAAAAAAATTGATGAAGTGGTTTTCCTTTAGAGAAGTACCAAGGAAATATGGTGTGAAAAAGAAGAATTCAGCTTTCACGTCTGTGATAACAGTCTGAAGTGTTGACTAACTTAAACCTAAACGCTATTTTCCTGGATTAAAGCCCTGCCAGGACTCCCACCATCTCGGACTGTGCACTTGCCAGCATCTGTAGCTTCCACTTCAGAGATAAGGTTGCAGGAAGTCAAATCAGTGAATCTGTGTTGCAAAGGGATTGGGACCAACAGACCATCTCTCCTGCGAGAGCATCACTACTTTTTCTTTCCCATCATGTTTCCTGTTGAACCTCCTAAATCTCTCTATCACTGTTTATAAAAGTTGTTTTGGAGTAGCTTATGTGGTTTCTTAAATGCTACATGATTCTCAGCATTCAGAATAAAGCTTTTTATTACTTTTGCTCGGTCTCTCTCAATAAAGTGGCTATGGCTGGGGGATACCCAGTCTTTCCCTTAGAAACACTCGTATTTTGTTCCCTGTGTGAGGGGAATACCATTAGAACCCTTAAATTATTTTCACTCTGCTATAAATTTACTTTAAAAACCAAATATATGTTTCCTAAGAATTGACTGGGAGATGCCACAAAAAGAAATGATCACATGGAAAAGATGAGCCTCAAAAGGAAACAGCGACAGATTCTTCCAAAGCTAAGACCCCTCCCCACCCCTCCCACTGGGCTCAGCCTCTCCCCTCAGCGGACCCCGCACTGTTCACACTGTCGTACACTTACTGCATTTTTCATATTATTTTTAACTGTGACATTGTTATAAAGCTCAAAATTGTTAACAAATACAGTTTTATGTGTTCAAAGCTATTATATCCTTCAGAGTAACTGCATGCAATTACATCCCTAATCTACCCCCAAATTTTATATAGCTTGTTCCGAAAGCATTTGCTGATAAAACTTTTAATTTTTTGAGTTAATTACTGTAAATGATTTCATGGTATTCCTTTTACTTCCCTGTGGTCTCCTTTGCCATTCCTCTAACAAGACATAAAGCACAGGTCTATTAAAGACATTACTACTGGCTTTGAAACTTGCTGTTTTCTCTTACACCGACTACACTGTCTGGTACACTCAGGTATCTTCAGTTTAACTGATAACTTTTATTGAAGAAGCTAAGTGAAACTGCTCTAAGCAAATTATACTTTCAAAGGCAACCAGAGGTCACCAGTGTTTGTTGGCAGTGGCCTTTCTAGCATCTAGAAATGATGCCAATAAAAATGACAGTATGCACTCAGCACAATGACACCCTAACCTGGGGATGTGGGAAGGCCAGAGGTCATTTGAAATACTAATGGGAAAACTGATTAAAGCCAAGAATGCTGCTTTCTATGTAAACAGTGCGCCCTGATGAATTAAAAAACAAAAAAAACTTTCCTTTGGTACACAATTTCTTTAACCCTGAAGATCTAAATTGCTGTTGATAAAATACTTAACAAAAGAAATAATAAATAATAACCTCTCCACAAATTCCATCTCTAATTCTATCATTCAAGTCTTAATGTAATATGATTTATTTTAAAAACTTAAATGAGCATGCCCTATTAATAAGCATATAATTATCTGAAATAAAAGTTATGTTGAAATTTTCATTTTTGAAAAGACAGTAGATTAATTTTTCTATACCTCTTGAAATGTTTTCAAGAAGTCTGAAGTAGTATCTTTACTTTTGAACAAGGAAACTCAACTTGGGATTGAAAAATAGTAAGTTAATGAACACTTACCTGGAAAAGTCCAGTTTTATTGAAGAAAGTAAATTGTGCTCTTTTAACTAATACAGAATCTTCTTGACTTAAGTTCTCAAGTAAATTTGGTGGCAAAATTACAGAAGCCAGTGGGTCCATTTGTCCACTCTCAAAAGCCATCTGTCACATACACACAGAGATTGGTCAAGTAAGCACATTTAAACTGCAATGATAACTTCAATGCACAGAACAGCTACAAGCTTCAAGTCGGCCAGGACCTTCCACCTCCACCGAAGTCACTGCTCTTGAGGCTGAATCCCGTACAGACCAAGGCTGGATCTCTTTCGAGTTTTGCAAATATGGCAAAACAGGAAATGCACTGACTTTAGCTAAAGCAAATTGAGAAATCTATAAATAAGTTAACATTGTCAAATACACGAATTAGATTTACACTTAGAAGATCTTGAGCTTTTCTCAAAAAACATTGTGAAAAAATAACGACCAAAAAAAAAAAAAAAAGACTGGCATTAATTTGATTGCTGAGAATGAATATTTCTGCAGAGAGGAAGCAGCTGAAGTTTTATGAACATTCTTGAGTATCATTTTTCCTGAACCCACAGATGAGGCCGAAGAAAGTTTCCTTGCAATGGACTTGGAATGAGACTGAGGCTGACCATGTTTTCACTCTTACAGTGTGAAACAAAATTAACCAAAAGAGCCTCTGGTCCAAAGCAGAAAAAAAGTACTTCCTTATATACAGATTTTTAAATATTTTATCTTGGCTTATCTCCACAGTTAAGAAGCATAATATACCACTAATATGTTCTCCCATGTCAAGCATGTTTCAATCCTTCCATTTGCCCACATGGCTAATACTTTCTAGCACATAGTAGGAATTTAAAAATTATTTGCTCAAGTGTTACTTGGGCAGGTCAAAGAGCTTCTCCATCAATCTGGCCCCAGCCTTCACGTGCAGCCTCACCATCGTCTGCCATTCCTGGCTTTCTACATTTTCTCAAAGTGCAATCCTCAGACCAGCAGTATTGGCAATATCTGGGAATTCGTTAAAGGTGAAAATTTTGGAGATCCACTTAGGACCTCCTAATTGGAATCTATGGGGATGGGACCCAGCCATGCGTTTTTGGTAAGTCCTTCAGGGCATTATAATGTAGTCTGAGAATCACCGGTAAACATGGGTTTCTTCCCATCTTTGGGCCCTTAATAAAGGTCTTTCTTCTGACTGAACTAATCCCCACACCCCACTCTCAGTACGGTGGCACTCACTCACGGCTTAATGCCTAGTGCCACTATCTCCTCTTGTAGAAGGTAAGCTGAAAGTATACCTCCTCTCTGTGTCCACATTCCTCATGCTTACTGTTAACCTTAGCCAACTTCCCAACTTGCCTGCCACCCCTCAAACCAAGATCGCCTTGAAGCAGTAACTAGTAGGGGATCAGAGATTTTTATTTATTCAATTAATTAAAGAAACCACTGCCTTATTACCTGGAAATATGATTCATTATTGCTTGGAAGACCAATGCTAAAATTTGAAACTTCATTGGTCCCTGGGGACAAGGATGATACTCCAAGAGCCAAATTCCGCGTCGTGATATTCACATGTGATGTGCTATTTAGGTCTATCTTGAAGGCCAATTCATCAATTGTTTTTAAAGCTCTAAAGAGATGATAAATAATACCACTGTTAAATAACAGATTCTAGGTACTTGCACACATGTGATTTGCTGTAGGACAAAATACAAACCAAATAAAATTGTCTTTTAAGTCTTCCAGTCTTAACATGAATACCCACAGAATTACCCCAAACCCCAATGACATCAGTTAAAACACAGAACCATAGAGTTAAATGCATCCTTAAGAAAAAATATCTGCTTTAAGGAAAATCAACAATTAAATCATCCTAAACAAATGCTGTTTTTCATCTATTTTAGCCTCTTTTTCCTCAAATGAAAAATACCCTTCTTACTTCATAACTGAGTGAGAATCAAAGGAAATAATAAGATACAAGTATTTTTGTGAACTGTAAGACCCTGTAGAAAAAAGTTTGTAATTCTTATGTACATAAGGTAAGTTAGAGAATACATTTTAACAAATACAAAATTTTAATGTAAGAAACTTGACTGAAAAACAAAGGAACTTCGCTGAAAGGAAGGAAATAGAAAGAAAAACTTAAAAATCCCAATTCTAACATGTTAAATGAAACAACTGGATACAAACTGATTTGCATAAAAGTAGGCATATTTCACCTGTCCCAGGCACTTTCATTTCAGAAATACAACAGTCACAGAGCCGTGGCAATTCTGTGTCACAGTCCATAGGATACTGGCCTACATAGACCGAGTTATGTCTAAAAGATGTGGGTTCAACATTTGCTAAGTCTCTCCTTTGCAAGCAAAAAGAAGTGGCATAAATTTATGTATATGTAATAGTTTGTTTAGCTTTTGAATTAATACCAGTTGACACTTTCCAGGTGAAAAATGAAATACCAATTATATCTTTCTGGGACTATTTATATTATCTGGTCCTACAAACAATCCTAATCAATTTGTAAATTATTTTCTTTAAAAAAAAAATTTGAAATTCACTTTGTGAATGATCTTGGGAAATGTCAGTGGATCCTCTAGGGATTTAAATTATGAAAACTGGGCACCAAGCAGTCAGATCTGTGAGAAATTATATAACAACACATGTATTCAATAAGTTTTACCCTCCAGAAAGAGAAGAAAAAAAAAACTTACTCAGAAGAAGACTCGAGCAAGTCACTGTCTGGACTGGTTAAGATATTAGAAAATATATTCATTAAAGTTGAGCCAAGCGTGATATCAATGTTTTCTTCTTTATTTACAATCCTTTTGACCTGTTCTACGATGCTGGTAATATTGGCTGAGCTTAAGGTCTGCCCATCACCAGTTAAGTTTAAAATCTGATTGGCAACTTCATTTGCTTCCCCTAAAAAATGGCAGAAGAAACAACACACAGTTTTACTGGTGTATTTTGAGCATTTACAGGGACCCAAAACATAGTATGACACTTCACTTCACTTTAAAGCAGCAAACCAGGTTTCCTGTGTGTACCACTTATCGCAGTTTTCACAGGACAACAGTATTTCTTTATACAAAGAAACTAACTTCTCTCTTTCGTAAGACAAACTGCACTTGTAAGCAACTCAGGTAAATAACTTGGAAAGACCAATATTCCCATATAGTTCTAAGAGCGATGCCCCCAGAATCACTAAATGAGCGATTAAAAAATACAAAACTATAGAACACCGGTACGAATCTCAATTTATATACTATCTTCTCCAAATTTCTTACTATTTTTAATCTATTATAGAATGAATGGAACAGAAAAGTCAGAATGAGGAAAAAGAGTATTTTCTACCTTTAGTAAGTGAAACAATCACTTGATTAGCTTTTAACATGACAATGGTATCACAGAGCAGGAGGCCGTGTCTGAAGATGAAAACTGTGAAGCCTGAGGTCATCTCATTTTGCCTTTGAGAACTGAAGAAAAATCTCTCACTTACTTGAGCAGTTGGAGACATCAGGAGTCCCCCAGTAGGCAACAGATGTGTTAGCAGGGTCCTGGTAACTATGAAACAGAAAAAAAGGTATTTTAAATATTTGGCATAAATGACATTACAGCTGACAAAATTAGTTTAACAGTAAGTTTTAGAATTTGCCCTGGTGTCTAGATAAGTTTCACCTGAAAATAAAACTATAATGCATTGAAATAAAACTCATATTAAAAATTCTTATTGGAAAAAAAATCAGACTCATGTATCAGGGAAACAAAATGTTAGCAAAAGCCCCTAACCTAACCTAGGCTGCATCAGGTTCCTAAGGTTAAAAGCACATTTAGTGGGGGTAGGAAGGGACAGACTGGGATTTCAAAATTTGTAGATACTGACAGGCATATATAGAATAGACAAACAAGATGACACTGTATATAGCACAGGGAAATATATTCAAGATCTTGTGGTAGCTGACAGCAAAAAAAAAACGTGACAATGAATATATGTATGTTCATGTATAACTGAAAAATTGTGCTCTATACTGGAATTTGACACAACATTGTAAAATGACTATAACTCAATAAAAAATGTTAAAAAAAAAAAGCGTATTTGGTAATGTGAATCAGGTTCTGCTAAAAGAACTTTCCAGATAAAATCTCCCTTTGGATTTCACATATCTGTATAAGGCAGATTATAACCTGTCTTATACAGATGAGGAAATAGATAAATCGAGGAATTTTCCAAGGTCTCACAGCTAGGAACAGGTAGGGCCACACTTCAAACCCGATCAGCAAGGCTCTAAAGCCCCTTCCTTCTGCTCCACCACGTGTCGGTCACAGCAGTCAGGGCACAGTATTTCCACCTGGACACTTTGAGTATCTGAAATTCCCGGTAAGAAAACTCCAATGGAAGGTGGGGTGGAGGGTGAAGACCTGGACGTGACCTGCTATTCAGTGAAGCCCCTGCGGTCAAACCTGTCTCTGAGGTTTCGTTACCCATCCACAGAAAATCGACCCCCTGACAGTGTCCACTAGCAGACTGCCCTAACCCGGCTCCTGTCTTTTTCTCTCTTCGCTGCCTCTTTCCGCCTCCAACAATAACCCCTCCACAGAGAGTTAAAAAGGCTCAGAATTTCAGGTGCACGTTCCAAGGCTGTGAGCTGGCTCGGCTCGGCTCACCAATACACAAGGTGCTTTGCTCTAGGAAGGAGCCACCCTCTGGGTTCCAAATTTTTCCATCTTTTTTTGGAGAGAGCTAAAATAGCATGTTGCTTGGAGAGAAAAAAAGGGTTTTTCTTGAACCTACCTGCCTCATTTGTACCCCCCCATGGTGTATATGATCTGGCACACACAGAGACTCCCACTCTTCTTTCTAATTACTATACACCACACAGGAACTATGGTGCAGCACGTGTAACCCTGGGAAAGCAGCTGGAGTTTGATGGTCGGAGTCAATGTAAATCAACTATATTTCAATAAAAGACTAAAAGAAAAAAAGAGTCAATGGAAGTATTACCATGTTCGTGAAGCAAAGAAGCCCGGCTTCCCTGGACAGGGAGTGTTGTATACAGAAGGCTGGATGACTGGCCATTTATAGCCTTTGGGGTCCTCATCAGCAAGACATATACCTGTGTGAAGATGAAACCCAGCGTGAGAAATAGTCATCTATTTTTTGAAATGAGAGGTGCAAGATGAGAGCAAAACAATGATGTTGGTAATTAGATTATTTATTTCATGTAATACAAAAATACTAGTTTTCTATGTTCAGAATTTGCAAAAATTCAGAAGTTAGAAAAAATAAACATTAAGTACATTTCATATTCAAAATTACACCTTACAAAACTATCAAATAAAAAAACACCTATGTGAGTATAAACAGGAAACATACAGTATCATTCTAATGTAAGCCATTAGCAGATAAAATTAGTAAAATAGGGGTTTATTCAAAAAATAAACACTACATAAATAAAAAGCCTTGAAAAATTAAAAATGTAATTTAATCTTTTTCAAAGAGGAAGTCCATAAAATAGTGCCTCAGTAGTACTGTCATTAAGTTGCCAGCGTATTTTATAGACAATTTTTCCAGCTGCTCCAAAAGTGTCTTCTGCCTGAAAGTTTGCTGAGGGGATGGGGAAAAGGCACCGGCGGGCCTGAGCCGCACGGCTTACACACGCACGCCTTCATCTTCAAATCATCCCATTTGTCATTTGAAAATTCTCTGGGCAAGTGTCATGACATAAATGACTCTGATTTTGCATTTTAAAAATATCAAAATAAAAATACTCTTACCAACAGCAACAACAAAATCTTGTATTTCAGTTCTGGAAAACAGTGAATTACACTAAGACTACTGGGAACCAGTACTGTAGTCACCAACTGAACATTTAAATGACTTTCCCTTCAACATTCTGAGCTTTAAATTGTCAGGGTTTGACCTTTTCTTTCCCAATTGGTATAAACTTTTCTTCATAGACCCACTTGTAGAGAAACAATAGAGTGTAGAATTTAAATTAAGTGGTACAAATCACATGGCTCAGTATGCCGAGAGCGCTGTGCTGAGAGTCCTCAGCCTCTGAGGAGAGAGATAAGGCTGGTCCACGTGGGGATTCTCTGTCATATACAAACACCCTTCATCAAGACACTTCTTTGTGGAGACCCCAATGTGTGAAAGGGCAGCGTTTGTACTCTGATCATCCACAAGGAGCTCTGTTTATTAAGATAGCAAGCATTTTCCTACAGAGGCTCAGAAAATGTTATTGTTAATGATGATGATGATTTGCATTATTTACCCTCTGAATTCTTTGTGTAGCCACTCCTCAGTGTCCTGGAGGGACTGGTTCCAGGAACACAACCCCTACACACACACAAACACACAGGGGATACCAAAATCCCAGGAAGCTCATGTCCCTTGTAGAAAATGGTGCAGAATTTGCAATAACCTACGCATATCCTCTTGTATACTTTATGTCATCTCTAGATTACTTATCATGCCAAATACAATGTAATAGCTATGAATACAATGTAAATGTTAGGTAAATAGTTGACCAGGCGTAGCAAATTCAAGTTCTGCTTTCTGAAACTTTCTGAATTTTTCCCCCAAGTATTTTCCATCCAAGGTTGGTTGAATCTACAGAGCAGAACCTGTGGAAATGTGGGGAGGAGGGCAACTGTAATTGTACGTTGATGCATTAGAGATGGGTGGTTCCTCACAGAAGCAACGATGCCTGCTCCTTTATTACACCGTGATTCTGGTTTCAGTCATAATCCCGTCTTTAAGGTTGAGGAATACCCACTGCCCCCACTTCAACCTTCTGCCTGTGTACAGAGGGAGAAGGGTCAAAGTCTTCTTTTCTTGTGATCTCTACTAACGTACCTAATCAACGGTCGTCATAACATTAGTACAGTAACTTTACTTTTAGTTATCCATATTTTTGATCATTTACGTTTCTCAAATATTCCCTTCTAGCCTCATTCATTTATTTGTTCAGGTATTTAAGTGCTGGGGAATGTGCTAGTTGTTGGGAGGAGGTGGGAAGGGAAGGTGCTGGAGAAAAGTAAGACATGTTCTCAAACCGGAGGAAATCCCTGTTTAAAGAAAGTATATGTAAGAACACAAACAAGCCCAGTCAAATTCAATGGCCTTGTAATGTGTACGGTGCTCTAGGGATGTGGAAACAGCACGAAGTGGAGGCTCAAAGGCAGTGATATCTATTTGTACATGATGACATCAGGAAAGGCTTCACAGAAGAGGTGACTTGGGGCTGTCCTTAATACTACAGAGGTGATAATCGGTGGACAGTGAGAGGAGAGAAGAGCAGCTGGGCAAAGACACAGGGAGGAGGCAAAAAAGAGCACGGCACGTCTGAGGAAGGGCTGGCAGTACCACACTTGTGGCTGGGGCTCACGATGTGAACGGTGTTTAAGTGAGAACTGAATCTAGGTCCCAGATAACTCCCAGATTTCTGGCCCATTCTTGCAAAGATGGTGGTATCATTAACAGACGTAGAGGACATAAGAGAGGAGGATGTTTTATAACAAGAAATTGCCTTTTGTAAGATTTACCTCATTAGAGTTCCCACATACACATATACATACCAACTCTTTTTGTTCCTAAAGTGAAGTCAATTCTGGTCAAGGTTATCTTGGCATTTTTTGTTCATATTCCTAGTATTTTCATAATACGTCCTAAAATACAGTATAAACTTTTGTCTGCCTCTTTCATCCCCTTGGATTCATAGGTATCAAGTTGATATCTTTATCCTAACTGTGTCACCCATGTGTTACAACGTCACCAATAGGATGAATTTTATCAACAGAAAAAAAATTGCTTTAAATAAGCAAACACAAAGGAAGAATACTTTTGTTGTTGTTTCAATTACACCTGAGTATGAAGTCATGTAAAATACATACTACAAGAAGTCAAAGGCACTTACCCAGCTGCCTCACACTCACTGTCTGTAGCCTCAAGCCCTCATCCAGAGACTCATTATTCCTTAAGAGCTTCTGCTGAATGGTTCTTCCTTCTAAACTGGGATTGTCGGTAGCATTGTAAACCAGAAGGGCCCAAATCACCAACCTAGGAAATCAATTCAGATAGAATTGTTGTTGGCATTGTTGACTGATTGGTTGTATTTTTGGTGGAAAAAACAGAACATTTGGATATCGTGGTTAAGAGGATGAACACAAAGTGTTGAGACTGAGGAAACATGCCAAGGCACTCTGATTTCTGCCGCTGCACAAATTGTAATGTAAAAGAATCCCAATATGAAGAGATTTTATGGGATATTGTGTGTATTATCAATACCATCCCACTTCTTTTGAAAAATACTTTAATACTTTATTGCATACATGCAAGAAAGGGTCATATTTGTGGTTAATTCTACATTATTTCTTTATAGCCAAAAATAAAGTTTTTAAAGAAAAATTAGAATTTCAACTAATCTGATAAAACATTTAACTTTTGAGATTACTGAGTGTTATTGTTTACAAATATATTACAATTTCTCCAGAATGTGATAAATGATTTCCTATCTCCATGAAGTATTTACTAGTACTTTGGGTGATTGGCCAGCATATTACTGAAAAAGTTTATAGACTGTCTGAGCTTGCACATCTTTAAAAAGAAATTATCTCTATGGGAAGCAGAGACATATCCTAAAAAGCTCCAACAAAACTTTGTTTCTACAATTGGAAGTAATGTAACTTTCTGTTCTGTAGTCAAGAGCAGAAATCAAAAGATGCCAAAGTCAAAATGGTAGTGTTTCTCAAATAACTATTAAGTCCTCAGTGGAGAGGTAGTGGTATATTTTATTTATGAAATACTGTGGGTATCAATATAAAAGAAACAGAGTATTAACATATTTATCGTGCTTAAAAAAAGAGTAATGAAATATTTACTATTCAAGGTTAGGTGAAATTTTTAAATGGTCCTGTTTTTTAAATATCTGTGCTGATCTCAAGAACAATGTACCCTACAATTTTAATAATTCACTCTGAAAAGCTATTTATCTCTAAAATGATTTACTGTTTAATGTTCGTATGTAAAGCCATATTTCAGGATGTGACAAGCATACATGGCAATATAATGGTGAACTGTGATATCTTAATTTTTTAAATGGCCTATAATAATAGTATCTCTTGATTAAATTATTGTTGGAAGCTAAGCTTCGCCACTCTAGTAACTAAGAACTTATGGTTGGGAATGTGATCTTTCACTCCCCTTGAATACTGAGAACACAGTACAACGTACTGTGGAAGTTACTGAGTACCCAGATTCAGCAATTCAAGAATGACCAGGCGTTTTCTCAGTTCTTATCTGTGTTGTTTTCCTCTCCCATCCTGGAAACCGAAACTATTTTACGGTTCTGCAAAACCCAGTTCTATCTGTTGTTACCATCAATCATTCTTTATTTGAATAAACCGTCTCTGGGCTTTGGTTTCCTGTCTGTCTGGGCGATAGAGCATGATAGCATTCTCTAAAGCCAGGTCTGCGGTAAGCGTTACAATCCAATTGAGAGAAAGGTTGGGGAAAAGAGTGTAAGACTAGTGGACTATGGTTTTGAGAAAAGCTGTGAGAGACTATAAAGGTCCATCAGGAAGCAGAAGGACAATAGGGAGCAGAAAGACGTGGAGGTAGAGACAATAAGAACAAACGTTAGCCACTGCCAGGAGTTCAGACCAAAGGAAAACCAAATGTGTAGATTTCCTCACAGACACTAAGTTCATTCTACCCAACAGTTTCACAGACAGGAAACTGAGAGTCCAAGAATTTACATGTCCCGCAAACAAGAGTTTCTAAGGTGCTGATATACACTCATGATGACTGATTTCAGTCCTGTCAGGGAGTAGAAGAATCACAGTAAGTGAGACCATAGCTGGGAGCAAGAGGTCAGAAATCCTGGCTTCTCACATGGGCTGGCTGATCTTGGGCAATTCACTGGGTCTTACTTTTGTCCCTGGTTGAAAGGGCAGGAGGTTACCTGCCTCACCTATGTCAGGGGGGTGATTCAGAAAGGGAAGTGAATGAGCCAGTGAACGTGAAAGCGCCTGCAATCATAAGTGCTGTGCAAATGTCAGGAGGTGCTATGAGGAAGAGTCTAATGATGATGATGATGCTTCCAGGGGCATTGGTTTAATATACTTTATATTTCCAAGAAATATGTTACTTGATTGTTCTTACAAAACTACATTATTAGAATCTGAGTCTGAGCCCTCTGAAGAGGGTACACTAATGGAGATAACCTGAAATGGGGCTTCCCCAATTGCTAGACAAAGTGTCCAACAAACAAACCCAGATTATTGCCAGATCCATTATTCAAGGCTCAACGTGGTCTAGCAGTAAAGATTGGAGAAGACATTATTTGACGAAATAGAGAACAGTCCTGTTACCATCAAGAGTACAGTGTTAAAATATAACAAAAACATTCCTGTTCTTCAACTCATAAAGGAAAAGGAACAATTCCAGAAAGTAAAAACAATTTTCCCTAATCAGATGGCCCAATCCAGTCTGTTGAATATATACAGAAATCATAAACTTCAAATATAACCTTAAAAATGTGTTTTTCTAATGCTGAATAGAAAAAGAAAAAAATAAGAAGAAAACTCTCTGGTCAGCTGTTATATGAAATTTTATTATTATCTTCTCATAGCAAGAATATATCACCTGGAAAGAATTATATTCCATTATTATGGTAGTAAATATATAACTCAATTCACTCAACTGAAACTGAGTAAGACATATAAACTTTTGCTTTTCAATTTTTTTTTATCTATGGAGATGCAATATACCTGAACACAACTAAATTTATTTCATCTAGGGGTTTACATTGTTTTTCACTACATAGCACCCTGAACTTTAGCCTTTATATGCCAACTGATGACATATGGTGAACATACCCATTAAATTACCTGCCTGCTTAAGTCACAACTTTGATACAAATTTTAAAATGAAGACTTCAGAAAATTAGCTGATTGCTTTGAATGCTCATATTTCAGAACCTATTATCCATATTACTAGACGTATTGTACATAACTACCTCACTTAAAATAAAACATTATTTTTTTGACATTCTCTTTGAAACTTCAAATAAGAGATAATTGGTTACTACAAAGAAACTGGAATTACTAAGATAATAAATGTTCTACTTCTGAATTATTTTTATCAGATGTACACTTGTACTCAGTCTGCTACATTACAGTTTTAACTACAAGAAAAAAAGACCATGCACTAGGGCTAAAGAAATAATTTAAACATGTTATTGGATTGAAATGTTTCTCTCCAATCTCACTGATTTCATTTCTCTACAGACAGTCAAAACAGAGAGCAAGAGAAAGGGTGTGACATTTTCTGGGAGACTTCGTGGGCGTTACCTCTGATCATTCACGATGCTTCTCCTCACTTTAATCTTGTCCTCTCCCGTGCTCAGGTGAAAACTATAAACACAAATATACATATTCATTATCAACTTCCTCTGCCACAGGGTCAACAACAAAATTTGAGGAGGTGAGAGAAAGAGGCAGAAAGGACGCTCTGGGTCAGTATTTGCAGGTGTGTTCTGAGGTTCTAGTTCTTTCATATCCCTGAGACAAAATGGCTCTTCGGCCAGATACAGCTGGGCAACCACGTGCCTTCACTTTCTTTTCGAGATTCACAACACCTATCAGCACACAAAAGAACCTGAGAGGTTCTGCTGTACAGACGCCTGCTTCAGTGCGTCTAATAATGCAGCTTCTGAGCTAATTTGACCACTTGATCCCTTTTTCCATGTTATTACATCTCTTGAGTTCACAGAACATATGTTCAGGGTTCATCAACTACACTTTAGAAACTCATTCAAGAAAAAATTGTAAAAACAAGGTACAGAGGAAGACAGGTGGATGACACTATCTGCTAGAGAGTTAGTGGAATATTTAAATAGAAAAGACAGAGAGATAATTGAAAAGCTAGTTATAATCAGACTGTACATGTCTTATCTTGTAGAACAACAGTCTCCAAACTGGGGTGCATGCAATTCAGGGGGTGCTCTAGATGATCCCAACTAACAGAACTTCTATTTATATTTAATTATCCTTTTAATTTATGATACGTTATAACACACAACATATTGGTTATATAATATACACATATACACACATATGCATATATATATAATTTACTTAAAACCACAAGTATATTTTGGGAGTACAAGCTAAATTTAAAAAAAATGAATGGGATCTATAATCAAAAATCTTTTTAAACTACTGAAAAATTTTGTGCCAAGAAATTACATAACAAAGAGTTGTTTTAGAAAGATTATGAACATGGTGTGTGTACATCTGTACTTGTGTGTACGTGTGTGTGGGTATAACCATCAGGAGAGGGAGAAGAGTATTAAATTAGACACTACTCTTTATTTCTCAAGTAATCCATTCTATCATTTACCTGATGTTAACCACATAAACCGTGTAGTTCCAATTCTGGAAGGTTGAATTGAGCTGAAAATACAATGGAAAAGGGTGAGTTTGAGTAACACTTAAAAAAAAAATTGAATCCAGCTTCTTCTCTCCCATAAACTGTTATTGGAATAAGACCCTGGGAAAATTCCAAAGAGCTAGAGGAGTAAAAGAAAGGTACAGATAACAGTTGCTGGATTGCTTTATGCCAAGAACTTAACAAATGTTTTTTCTTTCATTCTCACAACAACTAACGAGATAGGTATTATCCGCAATGTCCCTGCACCCATTGCATGAAGAATCTGAGCTTCACAGTGATGAAATAGCTTGGCCCAGGCTGCAGCTAAGAAGTAGTAGATCCCTGATGGGAACCCAAGTCCATCTGGAAACACAATACTTTCCTCTCTGGCCCATGTTATACAGGGCTTTGCCTGTAATGGGCCTTCAAATTAGCAATAACGCTAAGAAATTAGTTGTAAAAGTGTGCATAGAAAAGATTAGCACAATACACACCTTCTATATTCTTGGAATATTATGCACTGAGGTGTAATAACACATGTTTTTCTAGTAATTATCATCCCATAAGAATATTAGTAGTAAGAAAAATTATAAATTAACAAAATAGAATTTAAAAAAACAAACAAAAGTAAGTTCAACATTATGGGGAACTGTGTTATTTATAATTATTATGTGATCATTTGACAATCCTTATGGGTCTCAGCTCCAGACTTTTTAATGAAGCAATGAATTCCCTTCAATGTAAATAAAAACTTTCCACAGTGTTTTGTACAATACAATCAAAAAACACGATTTCTTTATTGACACGAAATTCTCTTATTTATATAATCACCTCCAACGAGTTTTTTAGGTCTTGTTTCATACACACATTTAGCCTTCTTTGTATGTATTTTTAAAATTAAATGCAAATTATAAGAAATTCTGGCAAGAAGCATTAAATTATTTTTAAATTATAAATAGTAATAATATGAATCAGGGACACCACTTATATTTCTCTGTTATCAAACATGTGCTTTGGTATCTTACAGCTTAAGGGAAAAGTGTCCATTAAAGTTTAGCTTCAGATGAGAATGATGTTATGTTGAAAACCATGCATAAAATAAATATAAATGTAGAATTATACCTTGCTCAAAGCACAGACTCTCTAGTGAATGCTAATTTACAGAATTAATAACATTAGAAGTAGTTCATTTGAGAATGAAAATAAAGAATTTTATCTTTTGAAGATATTCTGACTTTAAAAAAGTAGAAAGAACAATGCTGGGCAAAAACTGGGATGCAAAATTATACTCATTCAGTAAATCCTTCTTTCCATTTAGAAATTAAATGCATCTCCTAGTGTTTGAACTGATTACTAAAGTTAATGTGTTATTCCAATAGTAGCATTTTTCTTTGATTTCTATTAGAGAATTTTACTCCCCCCACCCCCAACTCTGTAACAGCACTGTTAATTACATACTTTTGCTTCCTGTGGTCAACTTGTTGTAAAGGGTATTGTCTTTAAAAATAAGACTATGTCTTCCTATCATTCTTCAAATATGTATTTTAAAGTATTGTCATCACTACTTCTCAGTGCATGGCTCAACTTTCTTTTGTCACCATACCAAGGACATTTTTTCTTACTTCAGAATGTATATCCAAATGACTTTTTTCACAAAAATTGCCTGAACTGTAATAACACTATATAAAAAAGATAGCACAATGTCCCACAACATGCTATAAAATAATAGAAAGAATAGAAACCTATGGAAAATTCCATTTTTGATATTGTTATAGAGAAGAAGAAAATGAAAAAAATTCCTTAAATTGTATTTGTAAGAAATGTAAGAAAATAAAATGCTAAGTCTGTTTTTAAAATTGGGTATTACCAAAATTTTCACCAAAAGAATACTGGTTAAATAAATTATAACCTAAACATCCAACAATAGAAAACTTGTTAAATAAATGACTAGAGAACTGCATAACAGAACACTGTGCACTGGGTTAAAAAAAAAAAAAGATAAGTAAGAAAAAAAAACAAAAAAAAAGATAAGGGAGATCACTTTGTACTGATGCTGCAAATCTGGAAATAACAAAAATAAGTATAGTGTAGAATGGTGTGTAAAATATGCTACTTTTAATGTAAAAATGAAAAAAATAATAATGTACAGTCTTATTTTATTGTATATGCACAAACAAATTCTTGAAAAACTAACAGTGACTTCCAAGCAGATAGATGGGTCTCCAGGGAGATGGGTGTCAGGGATGGGTGGAAAATATTCATGATACATCTTTTTGTACTTTTTGGGTTTTGAATCAAGCACTCAATTAAATTTTAAAAAATGAAATATATTTTTAGGGGGAGGGTATAGCTCAGTGGTAGAGTACATGCCTAGCGTGCATGGGGTCCTGGGTTCAATCCCCAGTATCTCCATTAAAAAATAAACAAATAAACCTAATTACCCCTTCCACACCCACAAAAAAGAGTGTATTAAAAAAGAAAGAAAGAAATATATTTTTTAAAACAGTGCTGAAAATGTATGGATATAGCAATAAAGATCCGTCCCAAAATACTTTTCCATTTGTGTGACACTTTTACTATTTGACATAATAGTCCATTTGGCTCAATTTTTGTCCTTTATTCCATGAACCTCTCCTTCTGTGCAAAGTACAACATCACACTTATATATCTATTTTTATACTTATAATGAACACTATCTACATTTCAGTATGATCTGTGGATTCCATTAGACAGTAGAGTCTTTTCCAGATTTCCAGAGATTAAAGGTTTAAAGCCAAAGAAGAAATTTTACAGTTCACTTACCCACTCTGCTACCTTGCTCTGTACTTTTACCTCAGGGTGACGAAGGATGTTTTGAATCACTATGGAAATCCTATAAACGATTCCATCTGTCCATTGGAAATAGGATTTAGTCCATTAATTGTATTTTACAGTCATGCACTTAACTTACATTTACAGTGACATAATTTTGTACAATTTTAAAGAAACACCTTCTATATAGGTACAAAAATATCTAAGATATTTTAACTTCACTCTCATTGACGACTGCAACTTTTTAGAAATATTTATCATTGAGTTCACTCTTACAGATAATCCATTGCTCCTAAATTATCACCTGCATGTTTCTTCGTATTTTTCAGTTGTATAGATTTCGATCTACTGTCCAAAAAGTGGTGATTTATTTCATGTACAATTTTATTTCTTGTAGCAAAAGATTATCCTTTTTTCATACATTGTGAAGAATGATAGTTTGGGATGTGAAAACCTGGGTAAGGTGATGGGCAGAACTTAATTTGGAAAAGACCAGGCATCACATATTTATGGCCCAGGCCCCTTGCTCTCTTTCCTCCTTCCCCTCCTCACTAAAACATTTACTTCTACTAAGTTATTGGGTTGGATTTCACCAGACTTTTAAATAAAAATTCCATAAATGTAGTCATTTGTATGAAAGTAAAGGGGGAGAAAAGAAAGAATATATTTTCAGGTGGAATTTTAACTGGACTCACTTGCTTTTAAAAGAAAACCCCATGTCAGAAAGAGATTCTGTTTTTTGGAGAGGAGAGGGCACAACGTTTAAAGCAGTCTGCTGTAGAAATACACACACATATATTTTAAATGAAAATCAAACTGATCAGCCAGCATTTGCTAAATCTCTCTAGATGTGTTACAGGACACCTCAGTAGAAGTAGCTAATGAGAAAAAGACTCTTAAAGTATGGTAGGTTATAGAGAGAAGAGAAAAAAATTGATTCTGCATTATTGTCAGTCATCTTTCTTCATGCTTAAGTTTGGTCTTAAATAAAATATGCATAGAAAATGTAGAAATATGTAATAAATAACAATGGAGAATGGATTTAATGAAGATTTGGGGGAGGCAGTAGATTAAAGTACAAAAGTATGCCTCTGGGAACTCCCAAATCTACCAAAATGCAAATTCCAGTCACACTCCTAAAGGAATGTTTTTCCACTATAAGGGTCAGAAATTCACGCTAAAAAGTAGAAAAAAAAATCACCATTCCCACATGTAATTATAAGTATATAAAGTTGGTACAAATTCAAGGATATTTAGTTTAATTTATGCATACTATGTTATTCCAGCCTCTAAAACTCTTCATGTATTTTAATGATTTTCATTTTATGTTCCTTTAAAAATATTCTGAATGAAAAATAATTACAGGAATATACTTAAATAATAATTCAAATCAAAAAAAAAAAAAGAAAGAAAGCTTTTTCCACTGTAAATCTCATCATATCAAACATAGATCTCATCCTATCAAGTCACAGACATTCTGAATGACTGAGAGTTAATTCAAGTTGCAGAAGTCCAAGATTCTAGACTGACATCAGGATCTGAGGGCTATTCTCTGAAAGTTCGCAGGTGCCAGTCAAGTAACTGACAAGCTACCACTAGATGGAGACCTAAAGCATGTGCTGTGTTAAGATTAGTATTAGTTCCCTCTCAGGAGAACACGGCAAAATACTAAAAATCAGTATTTTTAATCACTCACATTTCTGAAATTTTATGGATGCATTCAAACATTTAAGTTAGGCTTTTGAGAACAACAGTAAGGACTAACAAAGTTACCTCCTTACTTGGATTACTTGTGCTGACCTCAGAGAAGTTTCATATTCAGCAGCACCACTGTGATGCCTTAAGAGTGGAAAATAGGATTTGGAATGGAAATGTTAACTAGTCTAAGAGCATTTCTTGGGAATGTAATGGAAAGGGCACAAAGGTTATTTGTAGGAATACCTAGATTATTCCCATATACTAAAATATCTGTTTATGAAAAGTAGATTAAAAGACGAACATTTTCTTAGTACACAATCGGAGGGATTAGATAAAACTCCAATTTGAAAAACAACAAAGAGAACTTTACACAAGGAAACAGGGACATTTCACAAAAGCCAGGAAGGCAAATTTTATTGATATGCTGAAAAAAATCTATCTGACTGGCAAACAAACACCAGCACATCATTACTGATGAACTCAGTAAGTCTCTTTGATAGTCCAGAGTTTTAAAGGACTGGATAAGGTAGATAACAGATTTGATGGCTGCGTCTATCTTTCTTACACTGAACAAAACAGGGTTCTCTAATATACCAGATCATAGGCCTGAGAATGCTTACCTCATCAGTTTCCCAAGGAATAAGAAAAGTGTATTTGAAATTGTTGACAGTATGTGAATGATCTTAGATATTCTAGGACATGACATTAAATCCCATTTATTCACAAGGTAAACAAGTAATTCTCTTTTCAATTATTTCAAATTTGAGTGTACCAAAGGAAAAAATCTTAATTATAGCGTGTTTCTAATCCTTTGTTACCCTACCTTTTAAAAAAGATAATGTAGGCTTCAGGTGCAGAGATGTGGGAAGGTAACAGGATATAGAGAGAATTCAATAGCATTGTTTTCATTATATTTATTTTCACTTTTCACTTTTATTTTCAAATAAGTAGTACTGGTTTCATTTTACACCGGTGGTGTTAATATTCCCATATAAACATAAATGTTTATGTAAAAAATAAGTCAATTTAGGGAAATAAACTATTAAATAAATAGCAGAGGTGGTTCAAGGATGTGGCAAAATTGTTCAGATGGCAGATAAATTTGAGTACATAATTTTAAAAATATTTCTACTACATGATGACTTGCAAATATTTTAAAAATATTTTTAAAAGAAGAACTACATTTTTATCAAAGCTCATCTGAGGTTTTATTTTTTCCTTTAAAGGGGGCATGTCAGACCATTTTAACTGATTCTAACATTTGCTTGCTTTGTTGAAACTCCAGGGACGGTTCTGACGCAGAGAGAGATGGACTGAACAAGGCTCTCTTCAAGAATGTCAGAAATGACATGATTGAGTGGACACAGCTCCACTCCACCAAGTCAAGGGCTCTGAGGCATCACATAAACGTTCTTGGGCAGCAGAGGATGTGCCAGTCCTGGAGGGAGAATGCCACAGAGGCTCTTTGTATGTTCATACAAAGAGTGACATACTTAGTTAGAATTATAATATTCCCATCTACTGGCTGGAGTCCATGTGAAATATGCACTGGAAATTTCAGCTGCTTTTGCCTTCTCGGAGGTTGCTGGAATTTTTGCTCCATCATAAATCTCCTTGGTGTAAGTACCAGAATAACCATAAACACTTTCCTGAATCGATGTCTTTATAACCCTAATGAAATTTATATCTACGTTTCATGTAAAATATTCCATACTTTCAATTTAAATGTCCTTACAGAGGAAGTTGATGTAACCCCTAAAGCCAAAAGGAAAAATGAGCTATGTGGGTTTCTTTTCTCTGGGTTTTGGTCCCTGGTGATACATTACAGATGTCTTGGCCTTGCAAGTTAAATGATTGGGGCTGAGAAAATTCCTTTGTTTCTGATACCTCATATTTGAGAGTATGGTGTGGTCACCTGATTGGAATTTCTCTTTTTTAGACGAAACTGAAGTCACTCACTCTGAATTACCAAAAGACTATGTACGTAGTCAATGTAAGTAGCAGATTAAATAATAACTCAATTCACCTGGCATTTCCCCTGTTCAATTCTGATCTTATGTACCTGCTATATTTGCAAATTATAAGTAATATAAATAGAAATGTACATATAGAGAAAACATAAGCGGTGCTGGCAGTTACTTGAAGTTCTGTCAGTCACACTGATTTATGATTTAGTTGATATACGGTCCCATTCTAACCATTATTCTTCAACAAATAAAAACAGAAAGCAAAGTATTAGCATATAAAAATAATTTAAATGTCACAATTGTTTGAACACAAAGTTGGCTTTAGTGAGCAGTTAAATTACTAAAATTATTTAGTTTTTTGAGATGATCAAATTCTTTACAAACTAGCTGCTTTTGGAGCATAAGCTGACTGGATGCCCTGGACATTCTTCTTCTCAGATCTCTAGGATAATGCAAATTAATTCCTTTCAATTAATGCCTTTCTTTTAAAACTTTCTTTGAAAGAAATTTTAGCTAAAAGTGCAGAAGAGTGATTCTGGAGATATACTCATCCCCTTGGTCATTAGAATGGGGCACTCAAGGCAGTCAAGTGATACTTATTTTATTAATCTTGCAAATGTACAAATGCACCAATTGATTCTAACAACAGAAACTTTGCTGGAACATTAGATATTTCCACCCTCAGAACACAATTTTTCATCAAGTCAGATGTACTACAAATATAAAAGGTAATGATTTCTTACCATTCCTTTGTTTATCGGTTCTATTAGTAACAGGCATGTTAGTGGTGACAGTGGATGGTGTGGCACTAGGAGAGCTTACAGTAGCTGGTAATAAAGATGAGAAAGATATGACTTTGCAAGGAGCACATGAAAGTTAATATGGATAAGCAATCTATAATTAATGCATGAAAATACATAGAGGAGGAATAGAAACCATTTCTTGCCACTAAACACAACAGATCCCAAGGTTATAATGCATAAAATGAAGCAATGCTTTCTAAGCACATTAAGAATCTTCCCATGGCCTTTGGTGACATATTGCGTAAGAGTCTGGCCCTGGCACAAAGGAAACAGAGAAAGAACACTTAGGTTCTAGACCTAGGTCTGCCATTAACAGGCTGATAACCACACAGCGAGTGACTAAAGCCTTCTAAAACTCAGTCTCCTACATCGTAAAAAGAAAAGTTAGAGAAGGAATTCTGTACAGCACCTATCAGCTTGAGATAATCTAAACTAAGTCAGTCTTTCTGACACACTAAGATTAGCAAAATAAAATGTATTTCTCCTTGAGAAGACAAAGGTAAAGAAGAACAAAAGAGAATGGAATGTACAGATAAAGTCAATCATTTAAAGATCCCAAGACTTTTACTAAGCACTGATGAATAAAATGACTTTCATAAGGGCAAGCCTCACAGGAGGGACTTTTCAAAGCACCATGTCATAGCTATGCTTCTGATACTGCTAAACTCTCAACAATTAAGCCCTTATGTAATGCTTTGATGCTGCCTTTCTAAGGGGATTCTGAAGGAACAGTATAAGTAGTAAAATAACTATACATGTAATTTTTCTTTAGTTTATCTTAGGAGTACCTTTGTGTAAGATGTGCATTTCTATGTACAATAAGCATTTGCTACGTATCTCTCTCAGTTAGGAAAAAAAAAACTACCTACATTTAAAACATTTCAGTGATTATGAAAAGAATTATCTTCCAAAGGCTCTTTAGAAAATATTGAATTCCTTGATTCAAAATGTGTTATTCTTAACTGAAATAATTTTCCATTTCAAAGTAATATATAACACTTAGAAATAGGGATTCTTTTTGAAGTCTTATGTTTTTAAACCATGAGCAGTTATATTTATTTAATGTAAAATACATCAATGATTATGAAGATGCTTTTTGGTCATTTAGGACATAGTGGGGAAAAAAGCTGGGTGTCTAATCCTTTGACCCAAAGAATCAGTCCTACTGATATCTCAGATTAAAAGAAAAAAATAAAGTAAAAATTTTAAAAAGTCTTCACATCTTGAACTAAGTAAAATTAAGGCTTTTTCTATTTCATATAACTGTTTTAAAAACTACACTGAGTTCATGAGAATAAACTACTTAAGAATGTTATTTTCATAGGGTATTCATCAATAATAATATCAAGAAATAATGTCTCCGAAAAGAAACAAAGATAATGAGTTACCCGCCCTCTCCCCGCCTACTCTACTCCCACACTGGAACTGCAGATGAGAGTTTAGGATTCTATTCATTTAGTCTCACTTCTAACCCCTGTCACTTTCAGGCTATGATCTTCTTAAAAAGAGACCCAGCTTTACAAAAGGCCATGGTCATGATTCTTAATGTGGCATATAGAACATGTTACTTCAAAAAGAAGTTTTTAATAGAATAAATGGATGAAAATGGGTCATGGGTAATTAGAAGCAGCAATGATAAATTAAAGCAAACTATATTATTACTTCAAATTTATGAGACTTTATGGATTACTTAGCATGCAACTACTCAGTCTGTAATATATAATTAAAATATTGACCATAGTCTACTCATTATGCACTATGAAAATTAATAAAATTACATTCATATTAGCTTAGTACAACTATTTTTATCTTAATATTTAAGTTACATTGCACATCATAAATTGCTTCATGAGCTTGTTTTAAACTTAACTGAATAGTCAACTTAATTTTTCCCCTTGTTTTTTTAGACATGAATACTTTTTCAAAATATTATATGGCTATATTTATACTGGACCTTCCCAATATTCTTGAGACGAAATGGAGGGAAAAAGTGAAATCAACACTTGCTAATAGCATATAATCATTCACATTTTAAAAACTCAGTGCTTTATGGAAATGTGGTCATCCAGTGTGTGAATGCATTCTTTCTCCACACTGCACCCACACAACTAAAGCACATCCAGAAATTCTTCTGCTTTGCTGGTTTCTAGCTTCTCAAGTGAAAATTAAGACAAAATTCAAAACGACAACTACATTATCCAAAACAGTAAGAAGGAAACAGACTCCAGAGGACGATGTGAACTCCCTACCTTGGCAGAGGGTCCCCAAGTCTGCGCAGTTGGCTAGTTCTGCTGCTGGGAGCGGGATCAGGTAGGAACCTTAACCAACACAGAGGGATTATACACATTTGACTTATGATTTAATGATACTATCCAGAAAAAAGAATCATGAATCATTTGGCTGGTGCAATGGGAGCAGCCCTAGAAGAGTCCACCAGTAATAACTCCAACACCAAGAAAGTCTCTTAAGACCTTTATGTCTTAATTTCCACAAGTGTAAAATCACGCTGTTGAAATTTCCCTCAAAATCTTTTAACTCAATTTAGTGGCCCCATCCACAAAGGAAAGGAAAAGAAGTGCTATGGCCCCTTGAAACTTCAGAGCCTTTTCACATAACAAATTATAAGGCTTTGGTGAAAATTCATACGGATGAAATAACCAAAACATCAAAAGTAAATTTCCAAAGTGAGTTTGGATATTACTAATACTCATAAGATGCATGTTTTTGGTTTGTAGGCACTAGCTACATGCTCACTGCCATTCCAGAAATATGTTTCTGTGACTTCAAGTTGGTCTCTGTGTCTTTTTATTTCAAGCTCTAGTTTTGAGCTGATTTTCTTGTAGGTGTAGTAGATTCTCTCTGCGGCACTCAGTCTCTCTCCAGCCATTAACAGACTTTTACCAACAGGCTGAGGCTGAGAAAGATGGGTTAAACTTTTCACAAAGTATATTATACTATGAACAAAGAAGAATAAATACAAATATATATATGCATATATGTACACACAAACACACGCACACACACATTTAATTTTTAAAGAACATTCCTATAATATTGACTACATTCTAATGTTTAAACAATTTCCAAATTTTCCTATCAGAAGAGTATGTGAAGGCCAAGCAGGTACAAGAGCCAACAAAAGATATCCAATTAGGTTAAGCATGTGCATAAGCAGTTTAGCAGCATCTCAGGAATCACGGTTTCTTCATTCTTGACGGCAGCAGGCACCTGGCCTAAGGAAGGAGTCACGTTATCTCAGGAAGACCCAACCCTCCAGCCTCGAGAAGGTCTGTGACGTCAACTGGTGAGAAGCTCTCATCACTGATCTTTGTATGTTCATTCAATAAACATTCACTCACTGTTTACAGAGTGTGAGGCAGTGGCTAGAATAATGCTTTAAGACAATGTCTCTGAGCTCAGAGAGGCATGAATGAGAGATGGCTTCACAGTTCTGAGTAATATAGGTACTCAGTGGGCCAAAGGAGGATGAGACCAGCAGCTTGGCAAGAAGGGGAAATTGGAAACCCATCACAAAGACAAGCTGGGAATACAGCAGGTCACTATACTGATCAAGGGAGAAGAGACTAGAGATGGTTATTCCTAGCAGACAGAATTACAGAAACAGATACCAAGAGGGCAGTGAAACAGTCTGAACCTAGGAGGCACAGCATTACTGGAGTAGGTCATTTGTAGAAACTGGTAGGAATGATCAGATAGGTGGGTAATGGACAGACCGTGGGGGGCCTTGTAGAACGTAACACTATAAGTACTGGGACTTTGGGTCTTCCTTCACATGGAGTATCCCACACATATAGTAGGTGGGTCCTCAAACTTTACTGACTAAATTACTGAATGCATTATGAATGGTTGTGAACATTTCAAACTCTTTCTTTGAGGAAATGGGGGAAAATGAAAGGAAACTTGGTAAGAAAACTAAGTTTAACTTTGAAAACAATCACTTCTGAGGCTCCATCACTAACTAAGAGAGAGGAGTTACAAAAAGTATGAGTAAGAATAATAATTCAGGTTTGATATCATGAGTACAGTTAGGATGGACAGAAAAAGATGGATACAAGACATCTGAACATGGAATATATAGGATTTATTTAGTGACTAACTGGAGAATAGAGAAAGAAAGGGATGGAGAGAATAAATTTTTCTGGTTTCCAACTTGAGAAATTGGTACATAAGTATCTCATAAAAGGAGGTAGTAAATACTGGAAGGAAAGCAAACTTAGGTGGGGTGGGCTAAACAGTAAGTCTAGATATAGGAACTGACATACTGTGACATCTGTTGCATGGACAGGTGTGCATGTTTTTGTAAGAGGTCTAGACAGGAAGTATTCCACAGAAGCTACAGATGTGTAGATTTGATGGAACCATAGACATTGCTATATTTAAGTATCAGTTTTTTTTAAACACTATAGATTTGAGAAGGTAAAAATAGCTCTTGTAGAAGATGGTTTTGTAGAACCCAAGTGGACAAAGTTTCATGGAGAGCGTGGCCATATCAAGTATACCACAAAGGTCCAGAATGATAAAGACGCTTTAGTTTGCATTGCAGTTTCTGTAATAGCTCTACAGAAATTTGCTTCAGGAGCATGGGAATGATCAACTCTAGATTTCCAGTGTTTGAGAAGTGAGTGCAAAAAGAGGAAGCTTGGCTACGAAAGGAAGTAGAGATGGGAGTTGGGGGCTAGTGATTGAAAACTCAGACAAGTGTGCCCTGGAGAAAGAGCACTGAGGAGGCAGATGTTGAAGGCAGTCTACATTTTAATCTTGAATGTTTTCTGCCCATCATTCCTTCCCATCACACTTAACTTATGCCCCCTTCTTGCATGAGCTTACTTCTCCTGTAGGTACTTACAGTTTAGTAAGGAACTTCTGAAAACTATAAAGCCTTTAGAACTCAAAATGACTGAGGAAATCTCAGCCACTAAAACATGCAAGAGAGGAGAGGCTTGGACAGAGTCCCTGTGCTTCTCAAATTACACACAATGTTGACAGCAAAGGTTCCTTGGGCCACTTCTGGCCCTGATACAGTATCTCTGGAAGACAAAGGGAGATAAGGCGACAGCACTGTGGGAAAGAAGTTGTTAGGCTAACTACATTGCCAATGCACTACGGTAAAGAGCCTAGTTGCAGAAACAAGGAAAGAAAATCAGAAGAGTTAGGATTTAGAATAGGATATTTAACAATTTTCTTTAACATTTCATCAGTTTCACTGTACGGTAGCAAGTCTAAATTTCATTATGTGACATCCTTGTCATGGAAAACTATAACATTTACTTCTCAATCTTTAAATTATCAATTGATCCTTTTTGGGTACTTTTAGTTTAGCAAACTGATATTGCTTTATAAATGCTCTATAAACACTATTTTATGATGATTCAATATAGCAATAGAAATTAAGTTTGAAGACTGTTTTAGTGAAAATGGTGTAAATACAAGTGACAAAATTTAATTAGAAGGAAATTATCCTGATGAGGTCTTATATTACAAATACACCAAATGATATAAACAGATACATAAAATATTTTAAATGTGCACAAGCTTTTTATTTGTACCCAGTTCCATTTTCAGCATATCTGCATAGAAAAGTCACTCTCCCAACCAATTTTTCTAGATAGATAGATTACAAACCAGGAGATTGTTAAGGATGAAGGGACAATTCTTTCTCCTGGATAATGATATGTTTATCATCAAGGAATTGTTTTCAGAATGTGACCTATGTATATTTACTGGTTTTTGTTCATAACACAAAGGGTTCAAAGGTATTTATTTAATATTAACCGTAAAATTTAAAGCCAAATTTCCTTGAAAAAAAGGTAATCACTGAAAATGGGCAGTTGATGAAAGGCTATAAAGCTGTTAATCTTTTTTCTCTACCTTTTGTTCCTCCAAAATCTTGCTCCTAAAAGGTGTCACTATTTATACAAGTTGTAGTAAAAAAAAAAGATTGACATGCAGCCAATAACTCCTCTCACTCTACTTCATGACAATTCAAATAATAGTCAACAGCACTAAACCCTCATGTGAGCTGCACTAATGGGACAAAAATAATAAATTATTTCAATTCCCTCTTTTCAGTTGTTACTAAATTGAATTTAAATTGTTTTTCACAAATATATCTAAAACAATTTTTGGAAGCAATTTAAGCTCAAAAAGAGTTTGGGCATCTTCAAAGAATGAAGTCCCTTGTAAAGATAAAGTGATTTTATCTTTTTAATTTAAAAAAAAATCAGTCATCTAAAAATGCTACACTCAATCACTTGTTAGGAATGAAAAGGAGGAGCCAATAGTGAATCAGAGTTTTATGGCTATAAAGGACAGAACTGTAATTATTGAAAATGAAAGAGCTGGAATACAAAAGTTGATGAAACCTTGGTAATTAAGCGTAAAATTTCAGAGATGAAAACAAAAGTCAGTACAAATCCAAAAATTTCTAGAAAATAATGTCAAAGTTGGGTACTTGTAAATTGCGCCTTATCTCTAAATACACAGTGGTTAATAAATGGAAGTGATTAATAAATGCTTGTTAAATAAGTGTAATCTGTTTGAACTTAGACTATTCATTGAGTTATATGGTACCACTCCTCAGGAAAGAGCAGTCATCAGTAAAATAAATAAAACTGGTGTAGAAGGCACTGTCTGTTCTTTGTAAAAACTGATGGACAATAGCCAGTATCTAAACTTGAATCATAATGCAGGCAAATACTTGCACTTATAATTAAAAGGTCCATTAGGGAAACTGTCTATTCACAGAGGTTATAAAACTCAGTATGTTTAATATACTGTCCTAAGAAAAAGAAGGATGATATAAAATGAAAAAGAATTGCTACTAAATAAAATATTTCTTTCTGAAAAGGACTGACAAGATTAACTATGTTTAAAAAAAAGATGAAAATTTCTTAATTAGGTATATTCCTTAACTACGCTGAGGACATTATAGGAAAACAAAAATGTCCAACTATAAAATTATTAAAACATTGGTTAATAATATATGGATTTTATTAAGGGTAGGATATTTAATATTTGAAACAAATGATAGGATGCTTTAAAGTTAAGTGTAGTCAATTCTGTTCTACTATCTTATTTTCATATTAAATTTATTCAGCAGTAAGCCTCTGGAAAATCTATTCATTTTCTGTCACAAGTTGATTCTGGAATGAAAGCTCATATTTAACAGATATTGTCAGGCCAATGGAATGTGAGGCATGAAGTTCTATTTTCCCATTGGCTACTGTACTGATCATTAGTTTGGGGAAATACCACTACCATAAACAGCAAGTCCCAGTGTTCCAGAAAAAAAGAAAGGTTAAAATGTTAACAGAGCCTACTTTTTTTTCATTTATTAAAGTTTTGCTTAGCTAACAAGCTTAGATACCATCTGTGTTACAGGTATTTCCTGTCAGTTAATAAGTGACTTGGGTTCTTCAACTCCCAAAGCTGATGATTAAGCAGCAGGAAACTCCCTCTCCCGTTATTACTCCTGAAACGCAGTCCAGGATATCTGATGTTCGGAACGGGGGTGTTTGGCGTCACTGTGGGATGTCGAGAAGGTCACTGTGAAAGTTAAAGGAACTCCAACACTGACTCTGTCAGCTTGCGCTACTCCTTTGAAATCATTTTGAAAATATACCGATGGCTAAGCTCCACCAGCACATATCCGATGCTTTCCAGTAATCATAAGGCTTGGGAAAGGAGTCTTAAAGATGGTGTTAAAAAAAAAATGAGGATTCCCAGATAGAAACCCTGGGTCAGGGACAGGAGACGTACATTTTAGCTCAGCAACTGCCTTGGCCACTAATCTTTTCTGAGCTTTGGTTTCCTGCCCTGTATAATGTGAAGGGAGTGGCCCAAATTGGGACTCCCAAACCCAAGAGCCTACCCGGCCAGAAGTCAATCTGATGGGGGCGGGGGGAGAGTGTGGAGTGTGAGTGTCAAGAGTTTGTTGTTTACCAGAGAATCCAAAAATTTTTATGTGAAATCTAATTTTTAAGTTTTTTAAACTGTTTTTTCTTTATTTTTTAATGGAGGTGTTGGGGATTGAACCCAGGATCTCGTGCATGCTAAGCATGCTCTCTACCACTGACCTATCCCCTCCCCGACCAGAATCTAATTTTTTAATGTTGGAAATAAACCACCATTTAAAAGCACTAAGTGGAACAAATGTAAAGAAATAAAAACAAATAAATGTTGCCACTACCACCCATGCCTGAGGGCTAAAGTGGCCCACGTGTGACTGGTCTGTTATCTCTGACCCAGGAGACCTAGCAGGGCTTTTCCAGTATTGTCCAAAGTGTGTGCTTCAGAAAACTAGACCCTTTGATCCTTTGGGCTAGTTTCAGGGGTTGGAATATTTGCTCTCAAAGGGCCAGACGGTAAGTACTTTAGGAGGGTGGGCCATGCCGTCTCTCACAGTCAGCCAGCTCTGCCGCTGTAGCACAGAAGCAGCCACAGACAATACAGAACCTCACGGGCATGGCTGTGTTCAAATAAAACTTTATTTACCAAAAAAAAATCCTTGTTTGCCAACCCCTGATCTAGAGGATTTCTTAAAAGAAGTTTAGGAATTCTTGTGTACAATAGTCCTCACATTTCACTAGTTAAGGTATCGAAGCATTTCAGGAAAGAAATCTTATTAATTTTTGTTTAAAACAAATACCATGCTAACACCCGGGGAAGCCAGTGGGGAAGCCAGTGTTCTGGGAGAGCACTGCTGGCAAGAGAAGACGGCCCCTGGACCTTTGTGCTGTTCATCTGGGCAGGAACTGGCTTCCCTACCCCAACACTACCTCTCATGTTCTAGTCCTGCTTATGCTGAAAGACAGTCTAAGAGAGAGCGCGATTCTGAAACTGAACTTTCTGGCTTCAATTTCTGGCTTGACCATTTACTAGTTAAATGACCTTGGATAAGCTACTTAATCTCTTTCTCCCTCAATTACTCATCTGCAAAATGGGGTTAATAACAAAACTTACATCATGAGATCTATGTTGGAAGTTACTACGTGGAAAGTGATTAAAACAGTACCTAGCACATAACATGTATTCAATTTAAGCATAATTTAAGTATTTAGCAATTATTAATATACTTAGCCAAATTCTTTCTTCTTTTCTTTTGGTTGTCATAGTCTTCAAACACTGACGCATAGAAAGGTTAACATTAAATAGTCTACATTATGACTTTTTGATAATGGCCAAGGATATAATGAAAAAAGCCCCTAAAGATAATTACCCTGAATGTACGGAGTACACCACTGCCCTCCCCTTGCTGTTCCCCATCCCACACCAAACACACACACCTGATTTTCTCAATTTCCTCACTGAGTAAAAGACCTCTTAGGAGTCCCTAAGCAGAGCTATAATCTCAAAATGAGAGGATGCTGGGAACAACATAAACTCTCACAAAGTTCCTAAGTCTCTTTCTGGAACGAGGTTGTGGTTTACCCTCTTTCCAACAATCCACAAGGAAATATGTCTCAAATGACCTCACATAACAGCCTCCCACCCTCTGCAGGAGCACCATGGCCCACACGGAGCGGGAGGTGATGAGTTCCCCAGATAGAAGGGCAAACACAGGTCAAGGAAACAGGGCAGGTGGTGTCAGGTCTTCACAATGGGAACTACTTCTTGAAAGTATTAGGAATGAAGTTCTGGTAGAATTCCTTCTAAAGTCACATATAAACGACTTTTGAATCTTAGGCCTCTTCTTTCTCTCCTTTATCGAGAGTTATCTCTGTGACTATATATATATATATGTATAATCAACACCTTGTTTTAGTCATATGACAGTCAAATTGATAATGAAACTTCTACTTTTGATGCAGTCCTACAGGAAAATAAGGACTTCCAGAATTGACTTACATGCACAGAGAATATTTGATAGGGGTCTATTTTAATAATTTTTGTAACATGGCATTATTTTCCTAAATATTTTGCAGTTAGCTACTGCAAATAATATTACATTTAAAGTCTCTCAAAAAGCAACCAAGGAGAGAAGAGTATTTGAAACAAACAACAAATGCTCATTTTCAAACAAATGGAAAACATCCAAAGATAAAATTCAAAATTCCTGACTATCAAGATTTTCCATAAAATGGACACTTTTGATATTTAATATTGGCTAAGTAAATATCATCCTTTAAGGTTGTGGTTGTTTAAGTAATGGAATGGAAATTTCACCCCAGGATGACAAAGATCAGCTTTTTATTGTATCATCTTTATGACTAAAAACAGTGACTTATTCATTTCTTTTGTTTCAGTCTTGGGGTAACACTTCTATTCTACATACAAGAATTATAACTGGTGATTGTTAGGAGTAAACTGTGTGATATTTTATGACACAGGAAAAACTTAAAAATGGTAGGACAAAAAGCTGTGGTTGAATGTGTATGGCTTGTAATCACATACATACCTGTGTGTCTGTATAATTTCTTGCTGACAAACATACTCATAAAACAATTAAAAAAAAAAGTGACTATGCCACAGACTTACCACAGCTTAGGTTGCTTTCAGCTTTCAGAGCTGCAGTTGGGATGTTCCAAAAGTCATTCTGCCAGTCCACCACGTTCCCTTTCACACTACAGCTGAGGTTGGAGAGGACTTTGGAATTCATGGTAAAATTCCAAAGTCGAAAGTTATAAATGTCCCCTTTTAGAGAGGCAATTTCATTTTGATTGGAGCCCAGCAACAATTTCCCATTCCCAGGAATAACTTTACTAATGGTTGAATCACATGGAATGGCTTCATAGTTTCTTTTGAAATTGACACCAATGGAGCCCAAAGAATTATTCCAAACAATGCAGAGCTGCTCAAAGCTTTCGGTAAAAATGTCTTCCTTATCTTTTACAGGTAACACACTATTCAGCAAGCATTCTGAGCCATAGATAGATAGAAAGTAACCACTCTTGGCCTTTCCAAAACTGAGCAATTGTGTGAAGGATGCATCTGAGTAGGAGAAAGCTGTCCATTCGTTGTCTTCCTTGCCAATTTTGGTTGCTTCAAAGCAGAGTGTGAAAGCTCTGAGCTCTGGAATAGAGACACTTTTTGCAACAGATACCTGGTAAGCATCTAGCGTCTGGGGTAAAATGACCTTTTGATTCCTTAAGGACACGGCAACTAGGACAAAACACAGCAACAGATAAAATGTGTTAACTTCAGACATGGACTAATGAGATGCAAAAAGTCTGATACACAACCACTCTCTACACATTGGCTTTTTACCCACCCTTTGCCCCATCAGTCCCCTCTTTTTCTGGCCACCACACTCTTATCACCAACCCAGAACCTTACCCCAGTGATGACAACAATAAGAAACCCCACTTGTTTAAACTCTAACCACATTTGGCTGTCACACCTAAACCTCTGAGTGATAGCTGCCTAGGTGACAAGATGTTTTTCTTTTTTTAAATCCCTCAATTGGAAAAAAAAATTAAGCAAATGACTGGTCTCAGCAAAGTTCTGTTTATACATTAAGATTTTCAAAATTATGTTTCCTTTCAAATAATAACTAAACATAATAGCTAATAATTCTACTTTTCGTTAACAATCACCTTTCACTCCTCCCAAACACTCCTCTGCTACCCTCTCCCTTCAGACACCCCAAGATCCTGCTTGTCTCCCCCGTCACCACACTAATTTTAGGACAAAGGCAAAGACAATTCCATTGAGGAGAGGGAGTCCAGTGGAAGAACAAACAAAAGTGGCACTTTAAGCTATATTTCCTTCCCATCTGGGCATGTGAGCTTGTTTCCGAGGGACAGTAAGGAGCAGTGGCTACAGGGCAGACACTGGGGCTCCCAGGACCAACGCTTCCACATGGTGCCCAGTGACCCTGGGCATGGCACTCAACGTTAGTCCCCTTGTCTACAAAAGGAAAGAGAAAGGTACCTACTGTATAGGGGGTCAGTAAAGAATTAAATAAGTTAACATTGGCAAGCACTAGAGCAGTACCCGTGCCATACGACAGCTCTGACTGGTTGCTAACATAGATTACTGTGACTGTGCACGTGGGAAAGTCAAAATAAAAGTGCATTAGCCCAGTCCTTCTGCGACATGTGAAGTTACTGAGTAACACGATGGATTTACCTTGTGCTTACACAGCAGGTGTCATGAAACATTATGACTTGAGAGAGAAAAAGTTCTCAAAAATACTGTTTAATACTGGCTTCATATGAATGCTAGTTTGAATATATTTTAATATACACCAAGAATAGGTCTGTGGTAAAAACGTATTTTAATATAAATATTCCAGTTGAAAAATCCATGATGGAACTTAATAGAACTGTGGTTTTTTAGTCTACTTCTTAAATATAAAGCAGTTTATAGGTCTACTTACCCAAAGGGACACTTACACACTATGAACTCAGTATTTTATATGAATTGTTAAAATTTTAAAAAGCTCGAAGGAAATACGTCCATCAACATTTTATTAGTGGTTATTATGGCTGGCTGGTAGATGTATAAGTAATTCTAATTTGCTTCTTTTTATTTTAAAATTTCCTACAATATTTTATAACCCTAAAACATTATTTGAAAAATTAAAGCAGGTGTGTTTCAATTAACCACACATATATCTAATGTTAATCACAAACAGTACGCAACTCTGCCACGAAAAACACAATTTGTAATAATAAGGATCAATCATTTCCATAGTGGTCCCACTCTTTTTCACTTCTTTTTTTTCATATGTAGTACCTTCTTAAGAAGCTCAGGAGGGGAGAAAAAAAAGTATGACTAAATCTCATAATCTTGAAGCTTGAGTTTTTCTTAAGCAAAGACAGGTTTTAGAGAGAATGAGATTCTTTTAATGTTATGATACGCCAGAACCCAGGACATATATCTGATAAAAATACACTTCCTTTCTTCAATTAGCCATTTTCAAGGGACTTTTGTCAAGCTATGTTGTTTAATAGCTTCACTTATGTATAGCTCTTTTTAAATTTTAATTTATAAGTTTATTCCTATATCTGTCCTCAGCATAGTTTCTTAAAAGGGCAACATCGTAAAAGCCTAAAATAATATGATTTCTAAATAAGAATGTTTTCAATGTTTGGTGGACAGATGTTAGAATTACAGATTTTAAGTCCTAGTTGTGGGATATCCACATGACCTTTCAAATAGCCTTTATATGTTCTGCATATAAACAATATAAAAGAATTCAGATTTTGGATCTGGGAACTGTATTTTGCTAATGAGAATGCTCAGAGAATATTAACAGATTCTTGCCCTTAAATTCTAACCCTAATCATTGACATGCACATAAAAGAGCATAACCGTCGTCTGGCCCTGATGTTTACCGTGGAACACGCTAAATGAAAGCAGAAGGCTGGCAACGCCTTCGGTTCACATACCTCTGATGTAGCTGGCATTGAAACCTTTCTTCTGGATGCTAAAGTCACTTGAAAAGGACACATGCATCTCATTCGCACTTGAGTTAAATGATAGGCCTTTGGCAGTTGCTCCACAAAATTTAGTCTGGCTCTCTCCATTATCAAGGGATAATGAGTCATAAATGCAGTTGGGAGCTTCTTCAATGTCGAAGTCATTGAACGTTATCTGGATGATATAGCCCACGGGGGCTCGGAGCGTCCACATGCAAGACTGGCTGTTTGGGTAGTCGTTAGGGTAGCACGGAGACGTGAAGGTCCCTGAAGGGCTGGAGAGGACAACCCTGCAGCTGGCACATCCCCACACTGTTGGCCAGAGAAGAGAGAGACAGAGACAAGGGCTAGGATCAGAGGCATGCACTTAACCGCGAGCACCACACACTGGGGACCGTCAAACAGTAAACATTTTAAAACACCAAAATATAATCATCAACATGAAAATGAAAATGAAACCATCTCAAGGAGAAAAAGAAAAACCAACATAGCAACAGAAAGTAAAAGAGAAATATAAAATTTTAGAGCAATGATTTCTGAACTTGGTGGGGGTTCATATACACTGAGAATCTGATAAAAGTTAGGGGAACTCTCTCTAGTAAAATGTAGCAGGGCCACTACACTTGCATATAATTTCAGGGGGCCCATAGGCCTTAGGAGGCAACAATGGAGTTCATAAAGGTTCAGTAACCTGGATTAAGGATCTCTACGCTAGAGACTAACTGAACTGGGGCAGAAGGGGATTACAGGAGCACAGAGTCAGAACTCAATATTACAAACCATGGGAGAGAAACACTTCGGAAATAAATGTTTAAAGAGAAAGCTAATTACCAATACAAACAAATCAACGGGTTATCTTCTGGAAGATTGCATTTTTTCTAAAATTCAAATAAATCGAATCACCTTGCATGTGTGAACTATTTACAGTTTTGAAAAATGCTTTCACTTTTTATACCTGTTTACTAGAGTCGGTAATTATATACTTGTGTCATTATCTCATTTATTCATTCATTTAGTGAATATCGCTACAAGCCAGGCACTATGCTAAATATTATATACCAACGAGCAGGAAAGACAGAGTTCCTGAATGGATCTTACACTTCAGTTTTGGACCCAAAGATAAACAAATAATAATACAATATAATGACAAGAGGTAGGAAGAAAAGTAAAGCAATCAATTATTTCTCAATTATTACTTATCCAGGACCTGGTCACCAGCCGGAACCAGAAACCAAGGTCTACTGTCTTTCTATCTAGAGATGCTTTTGCAACTAATATTCATGTTGCTTTTAAAAACTTGTATAAATGGAAGAAGAAATCTCATTTATCCAACATTCTGGATAAATAAACTGTCATAAAACTGACACACTTTCAAGCACTAAAGGACTTCTATCATGTTAATGGAAACCACTCTCAACTTACAGGGTTCCCGAAGTTGTACTGAGTTGAGTGGAATGAATATGCAACACCTGTTCTTGAAAATGGTAGTTGTTACAGACATCGCTTACTCTTCTATGATGCAGGATCTGTTCAAGGACTTACTAGATACATTATGCTGCTCGATTTGGGTTCGTCTTGTTTCCTTTCCCTGTGGCTACCTTGTGTTATGCACCGGTTTGCCTTGCCAGCTCCGCTCCCCAACCACTTTTCCTAACTTGCCCTCCCTCTGCCCTTCCTCCCTAAGTCTCCAACTTCTTGTACAGGGCTGAGGGCAGACAGGGAAAACAATCTATGATCATCAAGTGTTAGCCAGATGCCTTTTCTTATCCATCCCTGGGGCACCATGTTCTTCTCCTTGCAACACGACTTAGAGCAGCTGTGTTACTTCCATTTGTGAGACTCTCTGCTCGTTGTCTGGTCCTCCCACCCTCCTCTAAGCTCAGCAGGCAGGCGGTAAGTACTGTCAGCCACTGTCTTGCTCCTCAAGACCGCACAGCATCCGTGGCACATGGCAGACCTTCAATAAAATTTGTTAAATTTGTGAACAAATAAATGAGTAGCTTAAATGAATGAAAACACATCTAAATTAAAGAACGACTAAGTACAGTACACGAAATGAACTCAAACGAAGTCTAAGTCTAAAAAACGATAGAGTGATAAGGTCCGAATATCTCTTTGGGTGGGGTTTTGGGGCTCTTTCTTTCAATTATTTCACTCCCAGCACAGGATTCAGATGACTGGGCCTCTCTGCCACGTTTGGCTTCTGTTACTGTACCTTGGGCTCAGGAGAGAGAAGTAATCCTAGTAGATTAATGATAATGTATCCAGTTAGAGACACTGGAGATTATAAAAGAAAAAAAGAAAGGGAAATAAGATACAGTCTCTGTGTCGTTCCAACATGCACGCAGGCAGCATCATTTTCCCAAAATGAGACGCCATCCCCTATATCCAAGACCCAAGTAATGTTCATGATTTCCTTTATCATGATGTATTATTTTCACCATATTCTTCCCTAGAGCTCAGGAAACACACAAGAACAATTCGATCTGCCTGACCACACTGATTTGCAAACAAGGACAAGTAAATTGCTCTGCACCTCAGTTTCATCACTTTACACTGGCGGTAACAAAAGCACCCATCACCCAGCCATAGTTACTGGGAGGACTAGATGGAGTCATCTTGGAAAGTCTTGGGAGCTGACTGGTCACATAGCACTGCTGAAGTGCTGGCTATGATTAATCATTACTATAACACAAAAATCTGTGCATCAACAATTTAAGAGAGAAAAAGCAGCACCTCACCTTAATAGAATCTCTTTTTCCCTTAGGCACTCATTGGGATAGAAAAGAGAAAGAGAAGTCACCCATAACATTCATTTACAAAGCATTTAAAGCATTTTTCCACATGATTCTCAGCTGCAGTAGCTGAACAGCATTTAGAGATAAAGCTTCTAGGTAGCGATTATCTTAATTGGATGAAATGTCAACTCAGCTAGGCACCGTAGCATCCTGTTCATTAAATTTATAGATCACTTCCATAGTAAAGGGCTTTCACATATATTATCTCACTTGGCATCCTAACGACCGTGGGAATCAGTGCTGCCTCCACCTTCAGATGAAATAAGTAAGGCTATTTACTATAGATTATATAACTTGCCCAAAGTTACACACCTAATTGATAGCAGGACCAAGGTTCAAATTAGCTCTTTTGAATGTAAGTCTAGTGTTTTCCTACTGGAAAAAAAAAAGTTGCCAAGATTAATCAAAAGACTCAGCAAAGTGGTGAGCTCAAGTCCTGCTTTAAGAGACAAATGCTTTTTAATGGGCAATTTCTTAAGCATAGTAATCGCCCTAAAATTAATATATTTTAAGAAACTAATTTTGAAATATTTTAGTGAAGAATGTTAGAGAGTCTAAAATACAGTGTTTTGGATTTGTCCATTTGGAGCAATCAAATATCACTGCTAACTGATTTCTACACAGTGAGCCAGTTTACTAAGAAATTAATTTGCTCTATTGTAAAGATGGGGTTGGAGCTACTTAAAAAGATGGCTACTGCAGTAGTCACTGAACAAGGCCTTGATAGAACCAGAGTTAATATATCTTCCAAAAGCTCCCCAACTCAAAACATCTGCTTCAAATTCATCTCAAATATGGTAACATATTCACACCGACAATTTATCAAAGCCAAGTTTTCAGGTAATCAAACAAAGAAGTCAAATCCACCCTTGATTCTTGCCTATGCTTGCAATGTTTAGCAACACTCATGGATTTTTTCACAATACTTCACTCTTCAAAGAAACTCAAATCTAAAATGGAAAACCTCCTGGTCATGCTAAAGGCTATCTCAATTTATAAGAAATATTTAGATAGAGATTTAATAACCATTATCTCACGGGCTTGTTTTTTCTTATCAGAGACCTGGGTTCCTCATCCACCCCTGCTGCAAGCACTTCTCTATAAATCAAAAACTATGTTCTTTAAAATCTAAGACAGGAGTATCAGATCCTGAGAAATACATCAAAAGAGATTCAATTTTAGCTGCTTTCAGCACAGATATATAGACAAAACAATTGTTTTTTCTATACTGTATTAAGTGGTGAACAAAATAAATGCACTTAAATTAAATCTTGGCTTGTTTTTTCTTTATTTTAACGTGTGTAAAATTGTCGCTAATGATTTGTTAGAAAACCTGGCTGGTGGAAAAATATCTCCAGAAAATTTCACCTAAGTTGCCTGCTTAGTTTGCATTTATTGGAGGTCACTGTTTGAATTATCTGTGTGAGTCTATTAAATTCTAATGAATGAGCTGCTTTAAAAAGTTTAAAATATTTAGTAGCCTTGGTCATTTCTGAAGATTAAGCCTGAGGACCAGCAACTGAGAGCCCTAGGTTCAGCCTAATGCCTAAATCGTTACAAAGCCAGGACAGCCACGCACCATTTCTCCAGATCAAGTGAACGCTGCCAGATACAGCATCAGTGAAATGTGAAATATAAATAATACTTTAGATGCTGGCATGTGTTAAATGACTGATAATACACAGAACTGAATGACTTCATCAAAGTAAGTATTTAAATTTAAGTGATTTCAGGCCTCTATGCATATTTTTTCAGGATGGCAAGGAATCTGCAGGCAATCTGGCTGTGACATCTGCGTTTCTGTTAATGTGACAGACTTGGCAAGCATCCCCACTCTCCTTCACCCCTCCTCTTCAAGCTCAGCTCTCAAAGACAGCATTTCCACGCAGGGGAACAGTGCTCTTACACCAAGGTTACATTGGTCATTCCATTTCCCTACAAGACCTCTCAGCAGCCAAGCAAGGATATCAGTTTTCTCCCAAACTCCTCCTAAAACACTGGTTTCCCCAGAGTTAACCAGAAAATTGTTTGATTTCCCTCTGTGATGTTTCAACCTCAAAATGTTCTTTGGAAGCACCACGAATAAGAAGGTACCTCAAAGACTTAACGCGTGAGTTCGAAAGGGTACCACTCTACTTGACTCAGTTCAATTAAGTCTGACCTGGCTACAAAACTAAGAACTACTTGAACTGAAGGTTCCTTGATGAGGCACCATTAAACGTGACCTTTTTTGAATCTCCAAAGAGATTCATGCCCACCACACCCTTGCACACACATTTCTGTCTTCGGTAATATTGTTAAGGTTTAAAGTTCGAATCCTGTCTTTCCATAACGACCTTGGCATGAGAACATTCCATGTGTAACTGCAAGAGGTAATAATACTTTTGGAAGATCCAAACAAGTGAATTGCTATAAATCCTTCTAGAGTCAGCTTATTATGTAGATATATATCCCTTGCAAGAGGATTAAACACATAAGCACATGTGCATGCGTGTGCACACACACCCACACACA